GCCTCCTGCTGGCTTGAACTCACCACCCTCACCGTTGACACCAGGAGCCACTAGATGGAGTGGGGCTTTGCTGTTCTGGGTTCCAAGCTCAGTTGGCCCCTCTCTAAGATGGCTCCTGGCCAATCCCCCTCTCCTGATGTCTGAACCTGAATAACTCACCAGCCACTTCAGTCCACCGTGGCCATTGCTGTGTTCCTCTGGTGCTTTTCTCAATGGAGACCTCTGGGATCACCAGTAGTCACCACATGTCTGCAGGTTTGATCTGCCCTTCCTATGCCATGAGTCTGGACTCTGGGACAAAGTGCCGCCTGCCCCCTAACCTCTTTTTTTGTTGAAGTCTCTCTCTTGGCTCTCTCTGTGGACTTCAATTCTCACTTCAGGTGCTTCCTAGGTCCCAGGGACCCATTTCCCTCCTTCTCCTCCTCCTGCTGCTATATTCCAATGTCTGGACACCAAATCCTGGAAAGCTTCTTTTTCTGCTGCTCACCACTCCACCATCCTCCTTTTTGGTTTTTTGAGACAGGGTCTCCCTATGTAGTTCAGTCTGGCCTTGAACTCACTATGGAGCCCAGGCTGGCATCAAATGCACAGCAATCCTCCTGCCTCGGCCTCCCAAGTGCTGGGATTACAAGTGTGTGCCCCCATGCTTGGCTTTTTCTTTGACTTTCATGGAGTTTTCTATGTGGACTTTTTCATGTCTGAGAGTAGCTTTTTTTTACAAAAGACTTCTTATATTTAGATTTTAAGTTATATTAGTTTATAAAAATAACAAACTTAGGGGCCGGGGATTTAGCTCAGTGGTTTTGCCACCTGCTGCACAAGCTCAATGACCTGTGTTCAATCCCTGGTACCAAAAAACCCCCACCAAATTTAAATATGTAGTGTTCATTAAGTTTTAAAGTTTATAACTGTTATAATTTTATTTATGTATCCTATATATTTTATATCAAATGAGAACCACTTTGATAAATTCAAGGTGACAAAATAGATTTCAATTAACATTTGGTCCCAGCTTCCTTTATATTTATTAAGTTATTAATGATCTCAATTGTACTTAAGAAATTGGTACATTGGATTTTTCTTTTGTAATTCAAATTATTATTGAAAAAGTTGGTGAGTCAGATGCAATTATAAGAAACAAAAAGAGATTCCATGTATTCTTTACCCATTTCCCCAGTGGTTACATCTAAGAGCAAGCTATAGTATAATATCCAACCAAACATTGATACCAGTGCAATCTACTGATCGTATTCACATTTTTCTACATGACTTGTACTGGGTGTATGTGTGTGTTTAGTCTAATAACTATCACATGGATAGGTTCTTATATCCACCACTACAGTCAAGAGATAGTATACCTGGGAATGGTGATGCAGGCCTGTAGTCCTAGCACTCTCAGAGGCTGAGGCAGGAGGATCGAATCTTTGAGCCTAGACTGGGGAATTTAGGGCCTTAGTGAGAACTTGTCTCAAAATTTAAAAAAGGCTGAGGATATAGCTTGTGCAAATGCCCTGGGTTTTACCCTCAGTGCCTGTCCGTGGCCACACACACACACACACACACACACACACACACACACGTTCAGGAGAATTGCTCCTTTAATTCCTTTTGTCTCACCTTTTTGTCCTACTTGTTTACCTTCCCCCTCAATTATTCTCTTTGCCCCACTTTTTCCCTCTTGTTCTTAACCTTTGCATCCACTAATCAATTCTCCATTTCAAAATTCTGTCCTTTCAAAAAGCTTATATAAACGGAATGGTCTAAGTAACGTTTTAGGACTGGATTTTTTCCTGAGTTCTCATCTGGACGTGTGTAAAGTTGCTTATTGTACTTCCGGTAACCATGCCTCTGCTTCATTCCTTCTGTTAGTAACTCACATCTTCTCTCCTTCACTCTTTTTCTCATCGTTTCAGGGTCATTAGAAGTTTATCAATTTTTATTGATCTTTTCAGAGACAGCCTTTTTACTGATTTTTCTCTGCTGTCTTTGTTTTCGGTTTTATTGATTTCTGCTCCTGTTTTATATTTCTTCCTCTCACTTTCCTTGTCAGGGTTCAAGCCTAGGTTCCCCACTTGGCTTTCTCTGACACTGAAATGTGGGGGGTTCCTTACTGGGGGGCACAGACACCTTCCTAGCTGGGAGGGCTGGACGTGCCTTGCTGCTGCTTCTCGGGTGATTTCTTGATGGTGAAAGTCCTGTGCCCTAGGCCTCCTCTTATACCACCCCAGGGGGAAGGGTCGGGGTGTCTTGTTACTACTGGGTGTAGATGGACCAGGAATATCTAATGACATTGCAAGGAGGGGCTGACACTCCCAGCTCCCTATCTGGCTTCTCTGACCTCATCCTTGTGGAAAGTCGTGGAGACAATCCAGGCTCCCACCCTGGGTGGTGATGGGCTTTGGCTGATATAGGGCAGGCTTGGCCTTGAAGTTCTCTCTCTTGCTAGGCTGCCCTCTTCCTGGTCCTTTGCCTACAGGAAAAAGGCTTTGATTGGGGATTTAGGTTTTTGACTTGTGTGTTTTTTGCACTGTACCCAGCATGCCTTCCATTCTGGAGGGGACACCCTCAGCTCCTTACACTGCCTGGATTAACCTACTTTATGAATTCCTAACTTCTATCTCTGGCCATAGACTACAGCATCCAGACACCTCTAATGACCCCCTAAAGATGGGAAAGTCTTAGTCTTAGGGTGTCTTATAGCAGGTACTTGGTAGCCAAACTAGATCTGGATTTCTAGGCTGACCTCTGCACCCCATATCTGGGCAGCCTTGGCTAACCCTCGGTGTACATTTCTGTCTACACTGCAGGTAACCACTGGCCCCTGAGAGGGCTTTTTGGAAGCTCCACAGAAGCAGCAGGTCTCTGTTGTATTCTAAGCTGCCGAAATGTCGTCACATTGCTGACTGCAGTTGTTGCTGCTCCTGTGGTCACCATGATAGTCTTTCACATCTCCCATGGCTCTGACAGCTGTCATCCACATCTATCCAGTCTTTGCCATTGAACATGGAAGTCAAGCTTCCTTTGGCTTCCTGGAGAATACAAAGCATTTATTCACTGAAATTTTCTTTTGTATTTTTAACATAATCATCCACGATGCTCTTAGCCTCTGTCTTTTTCCTGCTACACTCTTCTTTGCTGTAGAAATTGCACATATCCTCTGCTGCTCTTTCTCATGTTGACTCACCTTTGGGTGAATGGGCATCGGTCTATTCTCACCTGCTGTTTGCTCCCAAATCGTGTGTGGAGATGCCTTGTGGTTCCTTTGCCGGGTTCCTAGCCATCCCTACATAAGCCCGGCCCTCAGCAGAGCCTTGATCCTGAACCTTCTTACCTGTTCAGCCTCTGAGTTACCTGCACAGGGAGTGGTGGAAACAGGGTTCATGGGGAGCCTTTCCCTGAGGGTTTTGTTTGTACTGCAACTCTGAATTTGTTGAACACCTCAGTCTTGGGCTACCTCTGTGAAGCGGGGTGCAGCTTGTTTTCTGGGTTTAGGGTTTGTTTCTCCATGATGGGGGGATTAAAAAAAACTGTGCTGGGGCTGAGGATTTAGCTCAGTGGTTTTGCCGCCTGCGTCGTAAGCACAAGGACCAAGTTCGATCCCCGGTACCAAAAAAACAAAAAAAACAAAACTGTACTGAGGATCAAATCCAGGGGTGCTCTACAACTGAGCTGCATTTTGAGACAGGCTTTCACTAAAAGTTACCAAGGCTGTGCTCAAACTCTGATCCTCCTGCCTCAGCCGAGTACAGCAGCTGGAATCACAGGCATGTGCCACCTCACCTGGCTTCTCCATTTCCATTTTGTCTTTAGCCTAGGTCTGTTCTTGGTGGCTATCTTTAAAGATGGCTTTTGTACACATGGTACCACGTCCTCGTCTCTTAGAAATACTTGGGGGGGGTGAGAGAGACCGAAATCTTATTTTTCTCCATTTGCCCACACCCAAGCCTCTTCCAGGGACAGCCCTGCCTTCCCATCACACCTGCACCCCACACCAGGGCCCACTCAGGCTGGACACAGACTTGTGTCTTAGGTGCTGTCAGCCCAAGGCCCTGTTTTGCTGTGTGCTGCCCTGGGCTTCTGGCTTCTGGATGACCAAGGGCTTATATTTTAATGCTTTTCAGGGAACAGGAGGATTCCAGCCTTGGTCTCCTAGGTTATAATAGCCCATCTCACGGGCCGTCTGAGACCAAGCATTTTAAGCTCTGCCCAAGGTGGGAGCAGGATGGAGAAGGGTAGAAAACGTTGACCTGTAAATCACCGAGCCAGAGGCTGCCTAGCCCAGCTGGCCACAGGATGAACACAGCTGGTCGCTCACTGAGGGAGATGAAAGGCCCAGGGTGCAGAACACCTGATGCCTAGAAACTCCCTTCCTCTTTAGTCCTCTTAGGTCCCTGGAGAGGGAAACCTAAGGAAAATCTAGCGCCACCCCTCCCTAGAATATGTGGCCACTCCAAAGTGTCTGAACTTCACTTCATTGACCCTAGAGGACAGTTAGTGGGGAAAAAAAATCACAGAGCTGACTTTGGAATCAGGTCCGCATTTGCTCAAAGAAAGACTCCAGAATTGACTATCCGTGCAACTTTGGACGAGCCATTTTATCTTTCTGGGCCTCGGTTTTCCCGTCTTCCCATGAATGTAATCCCTAGACCTGTCCGGGTGCGAGAAGTCTGTCGGAGGTGTTCCCGTTCTAGGTGTGCCCTGGCTCCGCCCCCGCTCCTGCCCCGCCCCACCACGCCCTCCCCGCCCCCAACCCGGCCTCAGGTTCGGCCTCCGGCCCGCTCCATGGCAAGAGCCCCTCCCTCGCCGCTCTTGCGATACCTCCCCCAAGCCACGCGGTGGCGCTGAGGCTCCGCCGGGGCCGGGGGCTTCCGCCGACGTGCGGGGGCGCGCAGGCGTTTGTGGACCCCGACGGCGGCGGCGAGGCGTAGGGCGGTCGCGGTGAGTTCGGCGAGCTCGGGGTTTTCACACTCAGGTCCCCGCTCCCGGCGGGTAGGATGAGTGAGTGAGTGGGCGACGCGGATCACGGCCGGGGCGACGATGGCAGCGCGGGATGCGACGCCTGACCTTGCGCTGGGCCCGCGGCGCCTGGGAGGCGGCCCTGGTGGGGGCCCGGCGCCCCCTCCCTGCCCCTTGGCTTCCGGGGACCCCGTGAGGCTCCTCCGCCCGTGGGCGGGCCAGGGACCTGGGCTCTGATCCGGCCCTGCCCACCTCCCCTGCAGGCTCTCTCAGCAGTCACCCTGGCCCTGCTCTGTTTGGACGGTGTCTTCCTATCCTCGGCCGAGAATGACTTTGTCCACCGGGTCCAGGAGGAGCTGGACCGCTTCCTGCTGCAGAAGCAGCTGTCAAAGTACGCAGGTGTGAGGGAGCCGCTTTGATTTGGGGAAGGGCAGGATTTGTAGCCTCCCCCAGGTGCAGCACCCAGGTAACTGGCTGGCAGCTGGCCCGGACCTCGCCTTTCACCTTAACCTCTGCCGCCAGTCTCTTCCTTTGTAATTCTCAGCATCACCCCAAGACTGACGGGCCTGCATAGCTCCAGGGATGACTTTATGCTGAGGTCCTTTGCGCCTGGCCTTGGACCGGTGGGGCAGAGCGGGCCTGGCGTTAAACCCACTGTTAACCTAGGAGTGTATCTGGGAGGAGTCAGGCCCCTGGGGGGATGGGAGCACCCCCCCCCAGCACTTCTTCCGGTCCCTTCCCAGGGTTCTGCTTTTCCCCCCACTGTCCAGTCGCCTGCGGTACCTGATCCATAGAACAGCGGAGAAGTTTGATCTCTTGAGCAGCTTCTCTGTTGGTGAAGGCTGGAAGAGGAGGACTGTCATCTGTCACCTGGACGTCAGGTGTGTGTCCTGTCACCTTGGAGCGCTCTCAGCCCTTAGTTCCTTGTGGCAGGCCGGCTGGCCAGGCCCGGGGAGGGTGCAGCTTGGCAGGAACTGGGCAGAGAGCCAGCCCAGCGGCCTCTACCTCTGCTCCTACCCCGTTTTGTAAAGTCAGTGTTGCTGTTTGCTTCGGCAGACGCGCACAGCTTGGGGAATTCACAGCTTTGGCAAATTCGGCTCTTCCTGTTGTGCCAGGTGAGGGTGGGTCTGCCCACGTTCTTGGTCAGCCTGTGCCCCAGAGAGATGATGGAGCAGGGCAGCCCCTGCCCTGCTGTCAGTCACCTCTTCCCAGTCGCATCTTGCAGAATGAGCATCTTAGCGTAGTGGCTCTGATCCTAGTGTTTACAGTTGCACGTTTTTCTAGTTCCACAGTGGGAGTAGCTACCCTGTGTGGTGTGTGAACAAGCCTCGGGGATCTCTGATTTGATTCTAGCACCTGGAGGCAAGCCAGCGTTTGGGGCTTGTCAGTGATGGGATTCTGGCTCAACCAGGGTGCCTTCCTGAGGGGGTTGTGAGTCATTTCGGCTTTGGTTTCTACCTAATGCTGACTTGACAGTGGCACGCCTGAATGACAGCCCCGTATTCCTGTGGGCCCAGACACACTCTGATCACCTCCTCCTGTTCTGCTCCAGGGTACTGAGTTCACACGGGCCCTGCCGCCCTCCTGCCGGCCACCCCGGCAAATACCATGGTCCTCGGCCCACCTCGAACCAGGGAGCGGGTGCCGGTCCCCAAGGTGCACGGGCTGGCTGGTGGCATCGTGGACGCAAGCCCGACCAGCCTTTGTATGTGCCCCGGGTGCTGCGCAGGCAAGATGACGGGGCAGTGACCTCCACCCCAGGGGTCAAGGGAGAGGCCCCCGCTGGTGGGGTCTTGGAAGAGTCCGGAGATGCAGGTGCTGGGGACCCCGACGCTGATCAAGGACTCCCCGTGTTGATAACTCAGGAAACGGCGGACCTGAAGGGCCCAGGCCAAAGTTTCGAGAATGAAACACGGCTGGAGCCAGCTGACACTGGGCCCCCAGGGCCTGAGAGTCCCTCAGGGAAGGCCTGTGGGGTGGAGCTAGCCAAACAGCTAGGGTCCAGTGTGCAGCCAGCCCTGAAGGAGGAGGATGCGAGTCAGCTGGAGCAGATTCTGAAGGACAAAGAGAAGGAGGACGAAGGAGAAGAGGGCAGCTGCTCCGAGGAGGAGCGCAGTGAGCTGCTGCAGGAGGTGATAAGGCTCTTGAGCCCAGAAAAGGGAGGGCGGAAGTGAGGTGGGTGTGGCCACAGGTGGGTGGGGACGGAGGGTCATGGAGTGGAGGGTGGGCGGCGTTGCTGTGGCTCAGGCCTGGTGTTGGGTGATAGTGGTTCTTTAGGGAATATGAGGTAGGAGGTGTAGATTGGGTCCTGGCTCAGCCAATTAGGAGCTAATTGACCCTGGGCAAGTAACTCGCTTTTCTAAATCTGTTTCCTCCTCTTCAAGGTGAAGGAGACAGCGCACAGGCAGGTGCTCACTCCAGAACTCCAGAACACCACCCCCTGCCTGCTTTTTATTACAAATTGCTTTTCCTTGGAACCGAGTGCCTGCTCGATTTTGGCTTCGGGTCCCATTGGGAGGGTGGAGCCTTTGCTGTCTTGTACGTGAGGGATACAGATCGTACAGACTTGCTTAGCATCACCTCTTTCATAAGGGAAGGGACCATCCTGGGCTTCCACCCAGCTCTGTCTACTGAGTACAACTCTGGGAAAAACTACCTCTTTGCACTCAGCTTCCCCCTCTGAAGAGTGAGTGTCCACACTGAGCTTTTCAGGATGACGTGAAGCATGTGGGTGCCAGTCACCCCGTGGGGACTCCATATGCGAAGCGCCCTTCCCTGAACGCCCGCAGCCTGATCTCCCAGCCTTTGTCTGGGGTTGTGCTCGGGGTTCCTGCTGGGCTGGGGTCCCCCTCCCTGCAGAACTCTCAGAGTGGTTTTGAAAGGAGTTGTTTGGGACTCTGAGTCCCAGAGCTCCCCTTGCCAAGGGCTCTGCTCACTCCCAGATCACAGCCAACCTGACGGAGAAGGAGATTCAGGTAGAGAAGGCCCAGCTCGACCTGTCCTGTTTCTCGGAGGAGCTGCCTGGGGAGAAGGACCTGGCCCATGTGTTGGAGATCTACGACTTCGAGCCGGCACTCAGGACGGAGGACCTGCTGGCCACGTTCTCTGAGTTCCAGTGAGTGGTGGCCATGGGCTGGGGTGGGAGGCAGGTGCCTGCCTCCTGGAGAGGACCTAGGACAGCCCTTTGTTGCTGAGGGAGCTTCCCACCTCGCCCCAGGACCTAATGCTACAGAAAGAGAGGCAGAAGGTGGGTCCGTCGCTTGAGCTCTGCTCGGGGCAGGTCTGCTCGCTGGCCGTGGCTGGGAAGGGAGAGCAGTGCTGTGGTTGTAGACACGTTCTAGGGTGGCCCTTGCAAGTCCGCGCCTCCTACTCCCTGCCCCCTGCCAGCTGCCCAGCGTGTCTGCGGCAAGCCAAGGGCCATTTCAGTGTGCAGCTTTTTTCTGGGGGTCTGGCTTAAGCCAGGGAGGCCAGGGAGATACTCAGAGACAAGACTTGTTGATGTTCTCAGATTCCTCTGGATTCAATTTCTGTCTTTGTCTCTGTTTTTTAATTCTCGTTTTCTGTTCTCCACTACTCTACTTTTCTGAATGGGCTTTTTATTTCCATGTATTTATTTATTTTGAAAAAGGGCTCCCTGTGTTGTTCAGGCTGGCCTGGAACTCAGAGCCATTCTCCTGCCTCAGCCTTCCAAGTGTGCACAGGTGTGCCACCTTCTGACTGCTTCCTGTCCCATCTTCCTTTGTGCTCCCCAGGCTGAAGGGGGCATGGTGTGCCCTTCTGTTCTCTGTCCCCAATGGTATGGCAGTGTCACCAGAGGAGCTGGGCGCCCAGGAAGGAAGCTGACTGGAGCAGGGTCCCAGATATGCTTGTTCTGGCTCCTGTCACAAGCCCTATACCCTCCAGCCTTGGAGCCCATCTGGCTCCATCTGGCTGGGACATGCTGGGGAGGCACCTCCTTCACCCTGGCCTTGTGCCATAGGAGCCGTTCGCGTCCTGGTCCTTCAGTGTGGACCCCGGGGACCAGCTTGACCTGTTTCAGGGTCACATTTGTCTTTGTGAAGCTGATCTGATGCTTTTCACCTCCTTCCTGGAAGAGATGTACTCTTGTCTTGCAGACGAAGTGTTCCAGCATTGGAGGTGGGAGGGAACTTTCCTGTGAGATCCACAAGAAGGGGCTTGGTCACTGGCCTTTGTAGCCACCTGTGTCTTCTCCACACAGGGACAAAGGGCTCAAGATCCAGTGGGTAGACGACACGCACGCACTTGGCATCTTCCCCTGCCTGGCCTCAGGTAAGGGGGCTTTGTGGTGGGCTCCTCCTCATCTCTGAGAGGCATTTGCAGGGACCCTGTCTCCAGGGCCACCGTCTCTGGGTGCAGGTCACCTTGGGCCCACAGGTTCCACCTCCTGCCAGCCTGAGCTGCAGTTTGGGGGTTCTCAGGACATCTCTGGCCTTTACCGTTCCTGTTGGTGCCTCCTGAGCAAAGGACTTCAGGTTCTGTGGTCACAGGCCAAGCCCTAGGTCTGTCCACATGCTGAATGAGGTCATCGGCAAGTGCTGGTGTTACAGGTCCCCAGCTTCCCATACTGGTGGTTTCATGGGGTTCATGGAGAAGCTTTCTCACTCTGTTGTCATGTCAGCCTCAGGTAGGGTGGTGCCTCGTCCCACACATGCAGGCTGAGTTCCCAGAATGCCAGCGTGAAGCCTTTGATGTCGAAGCTAGGGGCGCCTCACAGCTGCCTCTGACTCCAGCTTGTCCCTCTTCGGTCACTTTCCTCTCACCCTGCCGCCCTAGTGGTCACCCTGGGTGTATTTTTTAATAGGGACCCTTGCTGCCCTGAACTGCACAGCCTTCTGTACACCAGAAGGGGGTACCTCCTGCACTGCTGCGGCCTGGTCCTCAGAGCCTGGGCCCTGGGGGGCGTTCTGGGAACAGAGGGATGGGGCGGTTGGGGAGTCCCTGGAAGGGAGGCAGGGAGGCCACCAGCTGCCATGGGAGGAGCGGGCCTCGGCAGGAGGTGGCAGTGGCTGTCTCTGGGCTCTGTGGCAGTATGACAAGAGCAGGTCATGTCCTGGCCTCAGTTTCCTCATCTGTAAAGCAACAGATGGCAAGGGACTGACCTCCCCCAGCTCTGTCTTGCGTGCTCTGTGAATAGCCCGGGTGCTCCATGGCTGAGCATGACTGGGGCAGAGAGCGCAGGTGCCCAGGGCATCTCGGGAGGCGCGTGGAGGAATGGGATGTAAGCTGGCTGTCTCAGGGTCACAGCCTTGCTGGTGCAACTGCTGCCTGGTGGCTGTGGTGTCACCTACGAGACAGGCGGGCGTCCCCCGAGCAGGTCTGCAGGGCTCGGGGCACGAGGGGCACAGCGGCCATCGTCTCCCGCCCAGCCAGAGCTGTGGCAGAGCAGCGCTGCCTGACGCGGGGTGGCCTGGCGGAGAGGTCCACACTCAGATCTGCTCACCTCCCCCAGCTACTGAGGCTCTGACCAAGGACTTCTCCATTCTCAAGATCCGGCCGCTCACAGAGGGAACCAAGCAGTCGAAGCTCAGAGCCCTACAGAGGCCAAGTAAGGATGCCCTTGTCCCTGGTCGGGGGCCGCAGGCGGATGTGTTGGGTTTGGGCCTTGCGACTCTTCCTTGTGTAGTCCACTCTTTCAGTTCCCTGCGTTTTAGGAACCCCGGGGGTCTGTGCTGCCCTCCCCAGAGGGCCTGGGGGCCCAAGGGGGGTGGTGTCTGCAGCCACTGCCTGGGGCTGCCCCTGCTCGGCATCACAGGTAAAGCCTGGCCGCCTCCTGGGGGCTGTGGAGACCATGCCATTCAGGGTGTGGGTCAGCCCTAGGTGGATCCTGGCTCTGTCCTTTATCTCAGCTGACTTTGCACGAGTCACTTAGCCTGTGAGTGCATTTCTTTCCCTTTAACATAGGCAGATTGTCCATGGTAGGCAGGAGGCTTGAATGAGAGCATGCAGACTGCCTGGCCCCGAGACTCACTAATAAATGTTAGTCCCTGTCTTTCCTCCTTCTAGAAAGCACGCTGGAGGCTTTTAGGCCAGTTTTCCATGATTTCGAAACAGGCCAAGGGCAGGTCTTCCAGGGCAGCCAGGCCGTGTGGACGGCGATGAGGCCTCTGCCCAATCTTGTCTGTAGGGCCAAGTGCCCCGGGTGTACCATCCTGACTTGATTTCCCCAAAAGGCCCCGCAAGACAAGAGCATGGACCCTTCCCTACCCCACTGTAGAGTCAGCGAAACAGGTTCCAGGGGTGACAGGTTTGGGCCAGGGTCCCACCGGAGCACCGGTCCACAGCCTCACAGGGCCCTCTCTCAAAGCTCTGGCTGCTATGGTACAGACACTGGCTTCCGGCTACCCTGTGCCACAGCCCTGACTCAGGCCCCCCACTTGGTGGGGCCTTCCTTTCAGAGCTCCTGCAACTGGTGAAGGAGAGGCCACAGACAGATGCGGCAGTGGCCCGGAGGCTGGTGGCCCGGGCTCTGGGGCTCCAACACAAAAAGAAAGAGCGGCCTTCCGGCCCAAGTAACCTGCCGTCCTAAGGCCCCAGGCCTGGCCGCTCAGACTAAGCTGGGCACCAACACCACCAGCCCTTACAGACATCAGGAGCCCTGAGCCTCTGCGGAGCTTCACCATGGGGCCTGGGCTTTAGTTTGGTTTAATCCCAGAAATTGAGAAAAAATAAAAACTTGAAAGTTGTTCCAACTGCTTCAAAATGTGTTCTGTGATGGGACACTAGGGGGCGCTGTCCCATCTCCTATTGTGGGCCTGCAGCTGCTGGAGAGCTGGTCACCGAGGGACTGTGACCTGGAGGATCCTGTCAGGGCTCCAGGGCACTTGTCCACAGTCCAGGTGGTTTGGGGTAGTTGCTCCTGCCTTGTGCTGTCTGCCCAGTGTCTGACATTTCATGTACGCCCGCCTTCCCCTGGGACGGTGTTACCGTCCGTGCAGGTTACAGTTAGGAACACAGAAGGCCCAGAGGTGAGCTCTGAGTGCGGGGTGCCTTTGCATCTCCTGCAGGAACAGGCGAGATCGAGACATGTGGGCAGGGCCTGTGCCTTCCTCTGCTAGCTCCTGCAGAGTGGATGCCGAGGTGGCGTCAGCCGGAGCTTTGGGGCCATGATGGACCCCTGAGTTGCTGACCCTCACAAGCCCTGCACATGGGTGGGAGCCTGGTCTGGGTGAGCGTGCCTGCCTGGGGTGGCCACCCACCCAGGCTGCTGCTGGGAAGGGTGCAGAGCCCTTGCTCTGCTGCCGCACGCTCCCTCCTTAGGGGAGCCCCTTGTCACTGTTGAAACCTAGCTGTCCCGTTCCTGTTCCCTCTGGTCCTGACAAGTTTCAGTATAAACCAGCAAAGAGTTCCAGAGAGGAAGTGGGTCTCTGGTTTTGGGGCCTCCCTAGATGGCTTCTCAGAGGACTACACTTGCTCCCTTCGTAATCTGTATTGAGGACCCCCCTAGGGCACAGTGGATGGTGGGGGGGCATGGGAACCAAGTCTGAGGAGGGGAACCAGGACCCGGTGTGAAGCTCCTTTTCAGCAGTGGATGTAGGGAGCTGGGGTCCGGGGTGCAGTGGTTCTGAAGAAGGCCAGGTGCGTGTCATGTACCTTTCAGCCCATGTATCAGGTGTGTGATGAGATGGCTTGGCCCCAGGACCCCAGTTACAGACCCCTGAATCAGTAACCCCAGAACTGGAACCACGGAAAGATGACTCGCTGATGCAGGTGGGCTGGTTTTTCTTTGGAGCTATATTTTTGAAGGCCCAGATGCCCGATGTTAAATGCCACTAAATGACTTATGTTTCAAAGGCTGTGAACATAGAATAATGGTATCTTGAGAAGCAAGAGAGGGTGGAGAGGAGCACCAACAAAATCAGCACCAATCCGAGTGCACCTAATGGGAAACCATGGAAGCATTACAGCAGTCCTCCCTTGTCCACGCTTTTGTTCTCTGAAGTTTCAGGTTGACTGTGGTCCAAAAATATTAAGTGGAAAATTCCAGAAAGAAGCGCTTCCGGAGTTAAATTTTACACTGTCCTGAGTAGCATGATGAAATCTTACGCCATCCTGCTGTGTCTCACCTGGGACAAGCCTCATCCCTTTGCCCAGTGCATCCACGCTGTATGCGCCATCCACCTGTTAGCCACCTAGTGCCATCTCTCTCATCAGATCCACTGTCTTGGTATCTCAAGGCTTGTGTTAAATGAACCTTATTTTACTGAAAAATGGCCTCCAAGTGCAAGAGTCATGATGCTGGCCTGGCAATTCAGATATGCCAAAGAAAAACTGGAAAATGCTTCCTTTAGGTGAAAAAGTGAAAGCACAGTAGGGTGCTTTTGGAGAGAGGCCACATGTGTGAAACCTTTATTATTGTCACAATGATTTCATTACTTGCTAATTGTCCTAATCTCTTACTGTGCCCAAGTAAGATCTTCTCATAGGTATGGGAAGAAGTGTTATGTATAGGGTCTGGCACTGTGGTTGCAGGCATCCACTGAGGTCCTGGAGTGGATCCCCATGGATAAGGGTGGACTACTGCACTTCACGGTGGCACTTAACTGAGCAGAGGCAGTTGGCGGACTTGGAAGAGAGGTCTGTGTTCAAGTCTGCGGGATTCAGCCTGGCCGCCTTGGGGCTCCCAGCTGCCCGGTGCCCCTTGTAACCGCAGCAGGAAATGGCCCGTATGGTCTGTGCGCAACCCGGTGGCATCACATGCGGGATGGACAGTGGCTCGGCTGCCGAGAGCTGATGCCAGCCTGTGTGTCACCCGGAGTCCTGGGCAAGCTTGGCTCTGGCACTGCTCCCACAGCCCCAAGGCCGAGCCCCTGGCCCCGAGGTCAGCCCAGGCCGAGGAGGCTGGGCTGCAGCAGCACCTGGTGAACGAGGATGCACCTTCCTCCTGAGCTGAGTCTGGTCGGCCCGCCGGAAGATGCGGTGTGACCCGATGACAGGAGGTGACCCCGAGGCTTCCTTACTGTGTGGAGAGGTGGTTGTTTAAGAGTCCGCTGAACTGCTCAAACTTCTGTTCTGTCTCCTCACTCAAGGAGCCACCTGAGGAGGGGAATTGGGGAGAGAGTGGCCAATTAGATGCTCGGCCCCTACCCAGCCGGGGCTGCTCTAACCACCACCAGTGTGTAGCGTCTTTCTTTTTACTGTCACCAGGAGTGAGGTCTGTCACCTTCCTACATGGGAGAAAGCTCTGCTTTCCTTTTTGGCCCTTGAGTCATATAATCCAAGAAAAAAGCCATAAATGGAGACGAGAACAGTTCACTCGGTTCTAATTTTTCACAGAGGAAAACCCGATACACAGCCCACAAATTGCCGACGCCCACATTTTTTGAGGTCACATGCATAACGAGTTGGAGGCCTCAGCTCAAGCCCTTTAAAGAGCTCTGGGGTCTGCTCTCGCTGCCCAGCCAGTTCTGTGCCGCCCTCTCCTGGGCCAGAGCTGGCTGTGAAACGCAGCCTCCACCCCGGCCCCTGGAACCCATCGCCTTCTCCCTGAACCCAGGAATGTGGTGCTGGCTCCACTCGCCAAGTGAGAAGCTGCCTCGATTTCTGGAGAAAGTAGCGCAGCTCTGCCCGGTCCCAAGGGTGAGCAGCCCAGCGGCCTTACCTATGTGGCAGTTGTACATCCAGATGCGGTGGCCATCATAGCGACACCTGCACTTCATGATGTTGTTGGAGAAATCTGACTCTGGGACCTCGTAGTTGGGGTTAATGACAACCTGGGAGGAATCAAGTCAGAGCAAGCTGCTAATTCCTTCTGGGTCATCCTGGGCCCAGGGCCCTGGGCTCTGCTGAGACTAGCCTGGCTTCCAGAGCTGTGGATCCCAAGCGAGGAGAGTGTGGCAGGTGCCAAGGAGCAGTGGAGGGCAGGACTGGCCAGAGGGAGACAGTGGGTCCTGACAGTGTCCTCAAGGCAGGGCAGAGCCGAGCTCTGGAGGCAGAGAGGAGCAGGGCTTGGAGCAGTGAGACCTCAAGATACTCCATTTGTCTCAGTGTGACCGGGGAGGCCATTAGCCAGGTTACCTCTCCTGGGGTCCCCAGAACAAGCTCTGGGCTCTCCCCTGGCAGGAGGAAGAAGCAGGTGGCAGAGATGGGGTGGGGAGAAGGAAGAGGGCTGCCTCAGGGCAATGGTGACTTCGGGACTTTGGGCCCTTTCCTATCTCTGGGCCTGTGAGTTGCTCTATAAAGTCATGGGTTGGACCAGGTGATCCTAAAGCCCTTTCTGCTCCGACACCCAGGTCCTGGCTGGGGGCTGCTGGTGGAGAGAGGACCCCTCTGTGGCCAAGGGTCACCATCATTCTGAGAGGGGTCTGTGAAGGGACAGAAAGGGGAGGTTTGGGGTGAGGAACCGAGGAGAGAAGAAAACAGCAGGGGCAGAAGGAGAGAAGGCAAAACCTGTGTCTGGGGCAGTGAGCGCAGCTGCTGGGAGCGCTCGTGACAGGACTTCCCTCAAGGGCTGTGTGCATCTGGGGCGGGGGCGCAGCCCCTGAGGAACTTTCCAGATGTGGGGCTCCAGCAGGGCCGGGACAGGATCCCTTAGCAGGCAGGTCTGCCAAGGGAAAATGGAAACCGAGGCCAGCCTGTGGCCTGGCCTGGCAGGGGCCATGCTGGGACCTGTGTCTGGCCTGGGTGGCTAAACCTGTCCTTGCTGACCAAGTGCTAAACGCCCTGCTCTGGAGTGGCCTGACTTTTCTCTGATCGCTGGTACTCAGCAACCTAGCTATCCCTTCAGCCCAACCCACACAACAGGGGGCAAAGAACGCCTCACACACCACGGCCCAGCAGTCCCCTGCCCCCCCAGGTGTCCCTGAGATGCAGCCACAGGGCAGTGGGACACAGTGAGGGCCAAGTCGGGGCCATCAGGGTCAGCATGGCCCGTGTGGGGTGGAGGAGATGGGGGCTGGAATATGTGGTCCCCACAGGGCCATCCTGCTCCCACGGCATCGTGGGAAGGACTTTCGTGTCCTGCATTTCTGTGAATCTGGGAAATGACAAGAAAGTAGACAAAGCAAGGGCAACTGAAACAGTGGCCCGCTGAGCGGTGGCTGTGACCCTTGGCACAAGGTCCCAGCCTGGAATCCCCCTCACTGCCATCCAGTGCCCTCTCCCTGCCCTGCAATGCAGTGGACACTCGTGGGCCATGAGCTTCTGGCCGGGGCTCTTGGACATCCAAAAGCTCTGTGTCTACACCAAGGCACATATTCTGCTTTCAACTCATCAGAAGCATTAAGACATCCATCACAAGTCCATTCGCTAACTGTAGTTTAAGGGTCAAAAACACAAACTACAGACTTGACGTGAGCTGGGTTTGCCTGGTTGTGAAACAAGGACAGTAAGATCTCTTCCCGGCTGTGTTTAATGGCTCGATGCATTCACTGGGCCAAAGCAGGGCCGGCCTGGCATAAATCATCAGTAATACTGGTCATTAAATCCATGGCATTTGTCAGAATACACAGTAATACCTCGTCACTGGCAAAGCACCAACCCAAGTCACCAGGCACTGTATGTGCACACGGCCACAGGTACTCATTTTTTAGAACAAAGAGCCGCGTGGCTGGGGCTTTCCAAGTCTGCGGTTCAGGCTTGTGGGTGGAAAGGGCTTGGCTGTCTGACTCCTGGCCGCCAGCGCGGCCTCTTGAAGCCCCTGTGGTCACTGCTCTGCAGGTGCCAGTTCCTCAGGGGAAGTGTGTCTGGCGGCAGAGACCGAGGGCCAAACCCTGGGCTGGCTCAGTAGCCCCGAGGGAGAGTGTGCAAGGCAGAATCACTCATTCTGGTCACCCGCTTTGCCACCCAACAGGGCAGGCAGGAAAGCAGGACAGGTGGGGACGTGCTGAAATGACGACTCTGCCAGCCCGACTGCGGCTCCGCACCGGGAGGGGAGGCCAGGGTGACACAGTGTCTCCTGTGTCCTCTACCTGGTGGGCCCTGGGCAGAGCTGCCACTGTTTGCAGGAAGGTAGGAGGTCAAGGCTCCCTGCCTCCTCCCCAGGGCTGGGCATCCCCCTTGGCACAATATGTGGAAGCCCTGGGAAGACCCCACAAAACAGTCAGCTGGCCAGCCTGTCCCTAGCACTTGGCATTCTACCATTACAGATTCACTTCTTTGTGTGGACAGTGGTCTCTGCAGATCCTGTTCTCTGAGAGAAGGGATGTCACCAACACTCGTGAGTGACCAGTCTTTATGAAATCGCTTTTGGCCTCCACATCACAGGTCCAGGCAGGGTGAGGGCACCGGGGAACATCAGAGTGGAAGGGAGAGAAGCTCGAAAGGAGAGAAAGTGGGGAGCTGCTTCAGTCCAGGGATCTAATACCTGGCCCAGGAACCGAGTCAGCCCGCAGATGCATCTGTATTCGGAGTCTGCAGGGCTGCACCGCATTACCCGCGAACGTCCCAGGCATCCTGTGTCTCCCCAGGCCCTGCATGCCAGCCTGCCTTGCTCACTTACGTTACCTTCTAGACCACAATGGCCTCTGTGTGGCACCTGCCTCGACACAGCCTGGCCTCCGTGGCCTGTTCCCAGCACTTACAGGAAGGAGGGCTGCCCCTCCTCCCTCAGTGGGGGCATGGCGCCCCCCTCACCTGGAACAGGTATTCTCCAGGGGGCACGTCGGTGATGTCGATCCACTGGCAGTCAATGTCGTGGCGGTATATGTCCCAGCAGCCCATGGTGATGCCCTGCTCCCCAAAGTTGGCACACTCGTAACTTTTCTGGATGTCTGCAGGCAGGGGTGAGGAAGTCAATCACCAAGAACCCAGGGCCCTGCTGCCCCAGCCCCCTACTTCTGCTTCCTCCCATCTGCTCTTATTTCAACAGGAGCCCCACTCATTTTCCCACCCATAGGCCCCTCCTTCCTGCAGGTGCCCCTCCTCCATGATCCCCCACCCCCACCCCGGTCTGTGAAATCCTCAGGTTGCAGACAGACGGACTGCTCATTTTATCTGGGGCGTCTGTGGTGCCTGCTTTTTGGCTCAATACAGGGTCATCTGATCTCTCTGCTGGAGAGCAGAGGCAGTCAGAGTGTAGGCTCCTGCCTGATGGGTCTCTCTGCCCCTCACAGGTGGCCTGCACACAGCAGGTGCCCAAAGCCTGTCTCCAGTGTGATTTTGTGGCATGCTAGTGGTGGCTGCTTCAATGGATAACCAGGAGCTGTCATAGAAGGAGGGGCCTAGTGTGTCACAGCGGCATGCAGGGCCAGGTGGTCACACTGCGGGCAGAGGACCTGTTAGGCTGGAGAAGCTGGGACCACATTAGTGGACAGGGCTACCCAGAGTCAGTGGGCATAGGGGTGGGAGCTCCTCCGAAGCTCCCAAGTTCCCCCTCCCCACAGAGATACCTCCTTCGCACTCTGTGTCCTCCAAGCAGAAGCTGGCCTTGTGGCCCTCGGCCACCTTGGTGCCATTGAGGCTCAGCAGGTCGTAGTGGGTGAACACTTCCATGCTGTGGTAGTGCCTGCGAGCAGGGAGGGCCTGTGGTCAGTGTCTGAGCTGCTGCAGCCCACAGGCAGCTGCCCACATGGGGATCTGACCTCGGGTGACTGGGAGGGGTGGTGGGGAGAGGAAGAGGGAAGACGGGAAAGGAAGGAGGTGCTCCCCAGAAAGTGCCAGGCCCTGAAATATGCACCAAGTGGAGTTCCGTGGCTATTAGTGAGGCAAACTGTTTATCGCTGGGCCTTATTATTTTCCACCAGCAGGGACCCTTCAGAGCACTCGGCTGGCTCTCCTGGCTCATTCCTAGTTGCTGCTATTTCTCTACACTAATACAGAAAATCACATTCTGATGTCTTTCGGAAACATTTTAAGGTAGAAATATGGTAGGGAGGGAAAAAGAACCAAAGGGCAGGAGCAGTGGGGACGGGGGGGGGGGTGGAAGCGGCACTGGAAATTGGGTGTGTGCTTGGAGAAGGACGTGCGTGTGCCCTGGGACACACGTGTACTTCAGACTAGGAGGAGGCCCTGACTTTGCCTCTGGGCCCTGGGGGCAGTGGCAGCAATGTGTGCCTCTTGCATTGAGACATCACAGAGGGGCAGAAGGGGCGGAAGGAGAGCAGAGGACTCTGGGAAGGACAGGGCATCCCTGAGGACAGCCACAAGGCAGCTATGGAGGAGGCGCCTCCTCAGGCTGGGGAAGGGAGCAAGCAGGCTGCAGCTTCCCACTGTTTACAACAGGCCATCTCCTCACTTGGGAGGAATTGAGAACAGATGAAGACTCTTGGAAAGTGACGTGTTTGGTTCATAATAAACAAGGCAAATATGGCTTCCCGAATAACCCACTGCCCAGGCTCAAGGCCCAACTGAGCTGGCTACTGCCCTATCCCGGTCTGCCATGTGTGTGTGTCCCAGATGACTGCAGTGATTCTGACACGCTTGTCCCTACCAATGGAGGGATATTCAGAAAGTGGGGAGCACGGAAGAACAAGGCACCAAGGCAGGGGGACAGAGCCCCTTGTTTGTTCTATGCTCAACCTGAGTGTCCTCCTCAGTGAAGAGGCGAAGACAACATGACCACCTCTCGGGGCCGTGAGGGACTGAACAGGATGGAAGCCATGAGAGGCCTGCTTCAAGGCTGCAACCGGAGAACTCGGTGCCTGTCAACTTTCTCGACACTGCTCCTTCTCTCAGCAGTCACAGCAGCAGCGCAGTTTTTCATGCTACCTGGCGGTGGTGACTCCCAGGCCAACTGCAGCCCCTCACTTCCGGCGCCTCCTGCAGGGACCTTGGGCCCCGCTGTATGTGGGCAGCCGGGAGAGCGAAGAGGGGAAGGGCAAGGAATGAGTTTTCTGAGAGGAAATTAAAGACTCTTTTCCCTTCCGCCTCTGTTTGCTCACGCTAAAAATAACATCAGAATTGCTAAGTCGGGCTTCCCCCAGGTCACTTGTGTTTCTGAGTAAAATGGTACTGGGCCCGGGGCCCGGGGAGAACTCGCACAAGGAGGATTTTGTGGCAGTTCGAGGGATGACTCTGAAAGAGTCTATTTTGGCTTCCTGAAGGAGCCCGATGAGACATGAGGTCTGACTCACTGCCTAAAAAATGTCTGCTCATTCAGAGAGGGGTTTATGTGACCATGTTCCTGGCTGGAAAGACTGAAGAGGGGTAGGTTTGTGTCCCGTTGTCTAAACAGAATGCAGACGGAGCCCACAGACAGGCTACTGTGAGGCAGCCTCTGCCACGTGGCTTCTTGTGGCCCTGATTTAAGGCTCCTCCGGCTTCAGTTTTTCCCCTGCAAACGCCGGCAGGGAACTAGCTGGTTTCACTGCCTCCTGGTTTTCTCTGGCTTCTGTCCTACAGCGCCTCTGCTTACCTCTTGGGCCTAGGTGGGCCTCCCTCTCTCCCTCCCGCCCAGGTGCCGCATCTCCTTCCCCACTGGCCTGAGGTAGAGCCTGGAGCCCCCCACCCACCACAGGCCCCCCACAAGGTACAGCGGGGCACTGTGAAGGTGGAGGACAAGTCCTGGTCACTAAGGAAGGCATTCTGGGTCCCAGCTGGGGGCCTAGGCGGGGACTTGAGCCCTAGGCTGGAGAAGGAAAGAAATCCCAAGACACGAAAAGGAGACCCACACCCTGATGCTTGGTGGAAGCCCTTGTAACCTGGACAGAAGGAAGGATGGGCCTCACCACAGGGTGCAGAGCACGGTGTCTGAGACCTGGGCCTGGCTGACAGAGGAGGTGCAGCCTCCGCTGATTCAGAGAAAGGCAGGAGGGGCAATCTGGTGTCTTCTTTGCCACCCCAGGTCCTTGGTGGCCCCCATAAAACTCTCAACTGGAGACTCATGTGCTTGGTCACTTGATTTGTGCCCTGAGTCTTCCCCTACATGTGCAGTGTGCTCCCTGAGCCTCTGGAAGGGACAGTCCTGGGCCACTCTCTGACAGCTGGGGCAATGCGCCTGTCCTCATTTCAGACACATTGGGTAGTCTCCAGTCCTGGGTGCTGCCAGAAAGACCCTGGCTCTCCTGAGGGCTCCACTCTGCTGTCCTCACATGCCACCATTCAGCCCCCCGGCAGGAACAAGGCCCACCATGTGTGAGGGCCTGTTGGCCACATCTGTGGACTGTGGCCCTCCATGGGTCTGCTCAGCACATGGTGAGGCAGGGCAGGCTCAGCAGGGGCTCCCTCCTCCAGCAGTGCCACACCTGGCTCAGCGGCTGTCCTACAAGGAGCACCCAGCTCCCACTCCCTGGGGCCCAAGACTGGAGAAGGACTGCTTTAGGGTCACCAACCAAGGGAGAGAGAAAAACTCCGAGGCCAATTTCCTTTGTGTCGAGTTGCACCAGCCTTTGTCTCCTAGCTTAAGGCTTTCGAAGCACAAGGCTCTGTTCCTTATTGTTGCATCAGTTAAATGGGGAGTGGCATTTTCCCCCATTGGCATTCATCTGAGTCAGGGTTCTCCCACTTGGCTCCACAGATGGGCTTCAGCGTGTCTGGAAGTCTGCAGAAATAGGATGTGAAGTCCTCTAGAAATAAGTTTTTTGAAGTGAGCAGGGGCCAGCTTTCATCAGCCTCTGAAAGGAAGCTAACAGAGATTTGAGACGAGGCATCCCGTTGAAAGGTCCTCCCAAAGAGCCTGGAGAAGTCACTGGGGGCTCAGGAGGCCAGAAGGGGTCCTCTTGGGCTCCCCGGGATGTTATGGTCACAGCTTCTTGGTTATAGACCAGAAGGAGGAGGCTGGAGAGACACGTTTAGTCAGCGTGTCCTTCGTTACCCTTCCCTTCCAAACCACCGACCAGAACATCTGTAAGCAAAGGAATAGAACAGACCACAGGAAAAGTGCGGGGACTCCAGATCAGAACACTTCTGTGATGTCACTGGGACTATTCTTAGAGAAGCTGGCTCCCTGGGAGAAAGCATATGGCCCTCGGAGACTCCTACCATGTAATCTTTGGGCGGGCCGCCATGGGTGGGACTGGGATACAGTTACCTTCCACTTACAGCCCCATGGGCAGTGTCAGCGCCCACTGGCCCTGGCTTCCGGCCACATGTTCTCTAAAGAAAATCAGCCACCAAGATGGTCATGACCCTAACCCGACTCTGACTTACACCCTGAAGGAGGCGCATGTGTTTTTGTAGGAAGACCAGAAAATCTTTGGCTCACTGGCACTTTAAGCACATTCAGATAACCATTTTAAGGGAAAATCAGGACCCTGTCATAGGCTGTCATAGTCCTGTCTTTTGAAAGAGGTGGAGCAACTCTGTCCCCAAGCTGATTTGAATGTGACTGTAAGTTGTGACCTGAAAAAAAAGTTAAAGATAGGTTTCTGAGGACGATTCAGCAGAGGTAATAGGAAGAGTGAAAGAGTCAGATGGGCCCTGCTTTGCAACTTCCTGTGCTACCCGGCTCACATGACACTGAGCCTCCTTGTCTGACCTATGAAAACCAGGATTCCATGGCCTGCCACCTACAAGGGGCCTATAACGAGGAGAGCTTCTGCCTTTAATGGTGACCACAGCATTGCAGAGCCAGAAGGAAGCCTGGAGACCAGGTTTCCCAGACTCATGTGCACGCTGTCACCTGGAGTCCTGTCACAGTACAGACTGGCCCTGCATTCAGCCCTCAGGGGATGGCAGATATGCTGGTCCAGGGCTGCACTTTGAGAAGCAGGCCCAGAGAGCAAATGCATCCTTTCGTAGATGGGGTATCTGACCAAAGAGAAGGGAAGTCTGCAGCGGTATTATAGTATAGAAATGTATTTCTCTTCCTTCCTTTCCAGTGCTACATCTGCTTCTGTCCTCCTACCTGCCTAGGAAATCGTGACCAAGCAGGGACAGCCAGGTCTGTTTAAGGTTAAAAATTTTTTAAAAAAGGAGAAAAACCAAAACAAAGGAAAGGCACGAGGTTAAACAGGGTGTCTCCTGTTGGCCCCAGCTAGAGCTGCCTGTAGGATTTCACGCTGTTCTTTGGTCTGGCCCTGGATTTATAGCATTGGGATCAATCCACAATTACTGAGCTGGAAGGGACACTACGGATCCCAGGCGATGTGGCCTAATGGACTTAACATCATGCAGCTGTTGGGAGAGCAGCCGGGTTAGAGAGCAGGTCTTATGGCTCCTTCCTGGGCCCTGCGCCTTTGATTCCACACCCCAGGTCTTTGCGGAGATATTACAAATAGATACGGGTGTGTGAAGTACATTTCTACACAAACTCAGACTGGCAACTGCAGACCCTAAATTTCTTGCAGAGTAAGGAATTGGTGTGCACACGCTTCAAGCCACTGACCCAAAGTCCCTGGCAGGGCTTGCTGCATGGACAGTTGCCTAACGTTAGAAGCGCTACAGGCCGGAAGGAGACTCAGAGAAGGGCTGGAGCTGGGTCCGGGGAACGGCTTCTGTGAACATGCAAGGCGAGTGTGGCCCTGTCCCCCTGGACCGTGTGTGTGGCCTCTCAGTCCTCTCTAGGTGACCCTGGCCATTCCCATGCCCTACCAGGCTGTGCAGGACGTCAGGCTGAGACAGTAGAGTGGCGATGGGAGGGGGCCTACCTGTGACAGTCGTGCCAGATCCATGCGTGGCGGCCGTTCTTGGGGCGGAAGTCGGACTGGCCATTGTTGTGGATCTGGGAGGAGAATCGCAGCAGGCGGCGGTAGTGGCGGGCCAGCTCCTCGTTGGTTTGCACCAGTGCGGCTGAGGCTGAGAGGCAGTTCTCCTCCTGGGCACACAGCAGCATGGACATGGGCCGCTCCTCCAGGTAGGTGGTCTGCTGTACCAGCTCCGCGTTGAGCACCAGGTCGGGGGCGGCTGGGAGGATGAGCATGGTGGTCACAACACAAGAGACCCCTCCCTGAGGTTCCCTTCTGATTCCTAGGCTGGCACAACCCGTGTCCTGCCCACCACCACCTTCTGGAACAGACTTGGGGCTCCCAAGGTTGCCGTCCTTGTTGGCCATGTCCCCAGACCCTTTCCTCCACTGGGAGTCCTCTGGGACACCTCATGTCACCAGTGCAGGGGCACAATGCTTACAAGTGTGGGGTCTGGGGATGGTGTGGGAGGCCTCGTTATATTGTCCCCTCTACTCTCAAATGGCCTCAACACTCCATAATACAAACAAAATAAAACCCAACAACAACGATGGCAGAGAGAGAACACTGCTCCACCCTGGGTCTGATTTTTCTGGGAAGAGTGTATTTTCCAACATGTATAATATGCATGCAGATCTACAGTCTGCTACAACTGTTCCTCCTAAAATACATCTTGACTGCTTAGATGTACGCATTCGTTACAACATTCACTTTCAGGGCTCCATAACATTTATTTCATAACTATACCTGCCACGCCTTCGCTATGTAGACTCTTCGGAATTTTTGGAGTTAAGGACAAAGCTGTGATAAATGTCCTGTAGTAAGTATGTAGATACAAATTCAATTTTTTCTTTAGGAGACATCTGTATCAGTGAAACTGCCAGAAGAAAGGGCTGCACAATTTAATGGCTCTGATGCCCGTTGCCCAGTGGCCCTCTTACCCAGTTCTCGGTGTTTCAACCACACACAACTTGTTCACTGAGTGCATTGCACTTAGCAGATGCTGAAAAGATGGCTGAGGGCTGCAACTGTTTACGAAGCCATTGTACTGGAGGCTTAGCTTCTTTACACTGGGACAAGTTATAGATTTATTTCCCTTTCAGTGTGGGCTTCCCTTGCGCCTTTCTTTTTTTGAGACAGGGTCTTGCTATGTAGTTCAGGCTGGTCTTGAACTCACTATGAAGCTCAAGCTGGCCTCGACCTCACAGTAATCCTCCTGCTTCAGCTTTCTGAGTGCTGGGATTACAGGCATGTGCCACCATGCCCGGCCCCTTTCACATTTCTATAGCACTCCAAATCACAAAAATGTCCCAGATGATTGACTGACAACAGATCTTGCCATCTTTGTTTTCTGCCAAATTGCACGTAAGTGGAGTTTTGCTTCCTTCAAGTTCACAGGACCTGGAGCTGAGGCTTGGTTGGGCTCTCCCCTCCTGAGGGCACAGCAGTTCTAAGTGACCACCGAGCTCACTGGCACCTGTTGGGCCAGTGGCCTATGGAGAGCAAAGCTGCGCAGAGGGGAAGTGGGGCGGGGACGGAAAGACTTAGATCACGAGGCTCCCAGCTGCTAACAAGTATTCCCCCTGCCAGGATACACACTGCTCAGCCCCTGGGTTCTGGGACCCTACATTTTGGGACTATGGGCAAATCTCAGTTGTCTGTGCCCTGGCTAGCACTCCGGAGTCCCCCCTCCAGCTCAGGAGTAATGGTGGTCTGCACTCTGCTGGGAGCTGGGAACCTGGTCCCCACACCTGCCGTGGGGTGGGAACTTGACATCCTTGCCCCTCAAAACAGCCATCAGAAGCTCATCGGTGGCATTTGTCACCCACCCTTCACTTTGAGTGTCCCAGTGGACACTGTGCTAGGCTCTCTGGACAGGTGGCCAAATATTCTAGCAAGATACAGGTGTTAGCCCTGATAAATTACTTAATCAGAGCTGCAACAGCAGCTTCAGGGGAGGTATGGTGACCGATGGGAATTAAAACGGGATTCTGCCAAGTGGGAGTTAGGGAAGGACTCCTTTTGGGGAAGGATGAACAGACTGGAAGAATAACTTGAAGGCTGAGAATAGCAGGGAGGCTCTGGCTGAAATAAGCAGATTGTGCCAGGCCCCAAGGCCTGAAGGAGAACGCTGTGGATGGGGTGTGTGTGTGTGAAGGACGCTGGACAGCATGAGCCCTGTGCGAATCCCTTGGTTTCTTTAAGTTCGATGGAAACTTGGACGGGATTTGAACAGGAGAGAGTAGGCGTGGGGGCATTGGTGCTGGCTTTGGGGACAGAAGCAATCGGAAGGCGTTTCACTTGGGGACCCTGTGAGGAGCCTTTGCATGATACAGTACGGAAAGCGGCCACACGAACACAGGCAGGGACAGCGGGGTAGAAAGATGTAGAGGGAGTCAAGAAAATACTGAAAAGTAAAAATCCGGACGGGCTGGATTGGGAGGCAGTGAGGAAGAACAGTACCAGGGAGATGTGCAGATCTGGGGCGTGTGCGACTGGTTAGGTGAGGATCAGCAGGGTCTCCTGAAGAATCTTCCTACACACTCTGACATGTACTTAGCCGACCCGCAGAGGTGCGCTCCTACCCACACAGCACTGTCCCTTTTGAGGCACTAAGCTGAGTCTACTCCGAGCAGTGGCCCCTAAAACTCATTTCTGCCATGAGGACGCAAGGGGATTGCTCATCTCCCAGCTCTCAGTCTTTATAAGGAGAAAGTCCCTCGTTCTTAGTATCCAGAATAGTGGGCTTCTCGACTCGTACGTTTGTTTCCATCTCGTGGGTTCTATAAATTCTACTCATGAGCAGGCTTCTTTCTTTCCTTTGGATGCTAAGAAACTCACTGTGAAACTAATGAACTACTCCTAGTAAGAGTACAGAAGTCCATGGTACAAAAAATTTTTTAATTTTTTGCCAGGACCTACCTTTCCATGTTTTTATATTCTGCTATCTTGAATTTTAGTTAGGTTTCTATTACCTTAATTTCCTTTTGAAGAGGATAAGATGTTGCAAATATAAATAAACTGATGAATTTGTCTGACTCCTGTCCCCCTGGAGGACTGCTGCGGGTGTGACCTCACTATCTCTCCTCCCTGACAGGACGTGACAGCTGTAGCTTTCCCAGTGTGAGCACTTCGGGTGCTCAGAGTTCTACTTCCCAAGGATTAGGAAACAGCGAGTGAGGCTGAAAGATTAAAATGGACCAAGTTCAGGTCTAATCTTCTCCCTCGTCCTCGGTGACGGTAAAATGACAGTGTTCACTAAACACCTGAACATATCCACCGTCACAGCTGATCTCCAGTGTGTTGGGATGACAGGAAGTGAGGACCCCAGCAGATAGCTAACTTTCAAAGTCAGCTAATGAGCCAGAGTCTGCTCTCAACTGCTCCAGCCAGCTCCTGGGCCTACAACAGAGATGGCTCAGGTGAGAGAGTGACCTTTGGGCTCCAAGGACAACCGCTTGCCTGAGCATGCAGCTGGTCCTCTCTCAAGATGAGCTGGGCCACTCAGAATCCTGGCTGGACTGCCCCTTCCAAATGTCCCACCTCTCTGGGAAAACCAGGAAGTCACCAGGCAGCCATGTTGCCTCCAGGGCCTGGTAACAGGAAGTGATCCACGGAGCTCTCAGCCATGAGATTTGCCTGAAATAGTTGACCATGACCCCGTGACTTGTACCCAAGGCCCCAAGGCTCCTGGGCCCTGCCTCACACTTTGTTCTCCACTGTGTCATCAGGCAAGGCCTCGTGGTTGGACGTGGGATCATCTGCTCCTCTTCCTCTGGCTCTCATCACCTGATCAAAATTCATCCTGCCTTCTCCTTTCTCAGCCCCAGGGCCTCTGGAGATTTCCCGGAGCCTGAGGGTGGCAAGGTGGGTGGGAGGGGACCACTGGGACTCTCACTTTCTGAGCAGGCGACTCCGGCCCCATACTGCACTGCACCCTGGGGGCAGAATATGTCCTCCTCGTGGCGGCAGTGTGCCAGGGACAGCTCCGTTCCTGAGCACTTCACTCCACTCATGACCACTTTGTTGCCATCATTTCCATGCCAATACCAGGTCTCCTGGATGAATCAACAAAAGAAATACCAGCTGGTCACCTCCAATGGTCACTTTCTCATATTCTGTCAATTTATAGCCTCAAAAAAATTGCAAGGTTGTATGACCCCATTTTTTCAGTTGGAAATGGCTAAGGCACAGTCACTTCCTTCCCACCATACAATCAGGTGGCAGCAAAATGACTGACAATCTAGGTCTCCTGACCCCAGCACTTGGATTCTGCCACTGTGCACATTGGCACGGCAGAGCAGAGTCTGTGATCAAACAGGTGCTTGGGGTGCTGTGTGTCAGGAGTAACAGGTGCCTGTAAGCCATGTTGCCACTTCCAGGTTCTGAGCCAGGGCAGACATTGCTAATCAATCAGAGCACTCCCTCCTCAAAGCCTTGGCACAGTTCTCCAGAAAGACCCTACCAATTGATCAGAACTTCATCATTTGACTGGAGAGAAAAACGATCTATTTTTGTACATCAATCATTAGTTAATGATCATCATCAAGTCTGACTTCTGAACTTGATTCTAGGAAAAGCCATTAATAGAGTAGTCCTTCCCAGAGGCTGAGGAGACCCTCAGTCAAAAGACTGTTAGGATAAAATCTCACTTTCAGAGATGTTTCCAGCAGAGAGAAGTGAGAAACCAGAAGAGTCTGGCACAGAGGTAGGATGAAAACACTTGGCTAAGCCACAGTACCCAGCTATTTGGTCAAATGCTACTCTAGGTAGTTCTGCTAAGTAGTTTTCAGGTGAGCTTAATATTTAAATCAGCTCATTTGAGTAATGATTACCCTCCATAAGAAGGATGGGCCTTATCCAAGCGGTCAAAGACCTTAAGAGAAAAAAAGAATGAAGTCCTTCCAGGAACAGGAAATTCTGCCTGCACAATGCTTCTGGATGGAAATGACATCAACTCCTCCCTGAGTCTGCAGCCTGTCAGCCTACCCTGCAGAATTTGGACTGGTCAGCTTCCAAAATCATGTGAGCCAATTTCTTAAATCTGTCTTTCTCTCACCAGATGGATAACAGATGACAGACAGACAGACAGACAGACAGGAGTGAGTCTTCTGTATCCATGGGTTCAGCATACATGGATTTAATCACCTGCAGATTGAAAGTATTTTTAAAAAATTGTCTTTGTACTAAATATACACAGACTTTTTTCATCACTATTCCCTAAGCAATACAGTATAACAGCTGTTTACCTAGCATTTCCATTGTATTACGTATTACGAGTAACCTAGAGGTGATTCAAAGTATACGGGAGGATTGTACAGGTTATATGCAATACCATACCACTTTATATAGAAGCCTGGCGCACCCTTGGAGTCTGGTGTCCAAGGGGGTCCTGGGAGCAGTGCCCCATGATATCAGGGACAAGTGTACAATTACACATCCTATTGACTCTGTTTCTTGATAGAACCTGACCCATATGCTCCACGTTTTCCAGATGAGAACAATGGGGCCTTAAGTAGATCTTATAATCAGTGGCAGATTTGGGAATGTCATCAAGCCTGGCCCATTTCACGGCCCCAGCTGAGGCCCAGGTGCCTTAGAAATGAAGTGACAGAGAACAAAAGCAGCTGGAGGGCAGCTCTGTTGGAATGTGGCAGTTTTTCCACTCTTCCTGGAGAACCACAGCAGGCCCCAGCTCATCACAAACAGTGTGAGCAGAAATACCATGCTGCCCTGGGAAGCTGAGCTCCCAGAGGGCATGGGCCACTGTATCAGAGGACTGCTCCTCCTGGATGTTGGAAAGAGGAGCCATGGGGCAGGAGACCTGAAGCAGCCTCTGCTCAGGACTCTGCACCTCCCTTTGGGGCAACCTGGGCCTCTCTCCCACCTGCACCAAGCCATGGGGGAGAGAGAGACTTCCCAGGAACACTGTCCACCACCCAAAACCCCTTTCTTAGGCCCTAGGAAGGGCTGCTTGGGAACAGAGCTGAGGGCGGGTAACCACGCAAGATGGGCCTCCAAACTCTGTCCTGCCTAATACAAGTTTAGAGCCAGCACACTGAGGACTTGGGATCCTTCGTTCCAGGTCTTAGGGAGTTTGACAGAGGCTTGGAGGGTCATGGAGTCTGCTGGTGGGAACAGTCAGGAACTGACCCTCAGTTTCCTGGCCCCAGGCTGCCTTATGAAGGGGTAGGAGGTAGGAATGAAGACCAGGGCTTAGGGGTTCTCTGCTGAGTCGTCCTCCGGGGGAAGGTGCAGCCACGTGACCAGGGCTCCGGACTTGGCCTGGGGATTTGCTAGAGTATGGATGGGGGAAGACCTGAGGCGTGGCCACCCACTGGGCAACACTGCAGCTGAGCAAGGGCTTCCAAGTCAGTGGGCCAAGGGGCTGGGGCGCTGGGCCTTGGCTGGCCAGTCACACTGCCCTGAAGGAATGGCCTGCCCCTCTCCTCTCCCAGCCTGGCTTTCGGGGCTCAGCCCTCCCCAAGCAGAATCCCAGCATGCTGAGAGCGTAGATGCAGTGTGCCGAAGCCCAGCTCTGACTGCAGACCCAGGCTCCAGCCCCTCAGTTCTGTGGGCTGGAAACAGAGGCCAGAGGGAGCAGACGCCTGCCCAGGCCCCAGGGCTGTGGGGCAGAGCTGTGGCCAGAACAAGGTCCCCCCTGCCTCTGGCTGTGGCATGTGGATCTGCACCTCCCTCGTGGGCTCCTAGAGGAGGGAGGTTGACAGGGGGGAAGGTAGGCTGGACAGACGGCAGCGGACCCCAAAGCCTGGCTTCTCACCTGGAAGGCGTTGCTGGCGAACCCCAGGCCCAGCTGCCGGCAGACCACCATGGCCTCCACGATGCCCCAGTTCTGGCCACACACCGTCCCCCACACCAGGGACCCGTTCCTCTCTGTCAGCACCTCCACCCGGCCCTCGTAGGGATTTCGGCCCCCGTTCAGGCGCACCTGCGGACACCAGGAAACACAGGATCACCAGGAGGATGGAGGGAGCTTCCCCACCAAACTGCACCAGCCCCAACTTCCCCAAGGTGATTCTACTTCTTGACAGACCCAGCAGCCTCAAGGGCCCGTGTGGTAGTATCGTGCCCAGCATGGCCCCACAGTGAGACCCCCAGGTGTCCTGGGGCCCTGTGCCCTTGCTTTGAGTGCTTACTGAGCTTCGAGAGATGACCTGTACGTGTGCAGTCTCCATTCCAACAGAGCCAGACATTTAAACTGCACATACTGCACATGTGCTATGGGACAGACACCCTAACGCGACAGGAAACTTGCAGCCAGGCTTCAGGAGCACTAACTGTGCCCTCACCTGTGCATGTCCTTAAGGACATAAGCCTTTGGCCTTTATCCAGCAGCACCCTGTCAACCCCATTCCGGATGGAAAAGTCTCCCAATCATCGTCCTTTAGTGCCCTTTGCCAAGGGTGCTCCTGTCTGAAGGTGGTCAGCACTGACCAGAGCTGGGGGCCAGGCTGGGCTCCTAGCAGGAGGGGACCCAGCCCTGGGTCCTGGGGTCGGGACTGACTCCTGGGGCTGAGGGCACTCAGTAAGCGCCTGGGTTGTCCCTCTTGAAAGCCACCTCTGGTCACCCCTTGGCAGCTGCTGTCAGACAGGCCCAGGGCGGCACTACTCCCCAACCCCCCAACCCCAGCCTCCTGTCTCCTGGCCTGCTTCTGGTCCTGTGTCCAGGACAGGGAGGCACCACAGTGCCTGCTGCCCCGCCTGCAGGGCTCACTCGCTGGAGTGTGGGGCTTGGGATGAGCTCTCTACAGACCCAAGTCTGACCCTTGGGAGCCATAACCAGGGTTAACCCTCTTCTGTGCCTGGTTTTCGGCTCCCACCTCCTGCAGGGGTGCATGGCAGGGCAGAAGGCCCAGTTAGCCCTTGAGACGGCAGCCCAAGAGGACGATAAAAAACAGAATGACTTTCCCCTGGGTTTACTGTGTGTTTCGGTTCTCATCTACACTGCTGTTGGGAACAAACTAGTACAAGAACTATGGAAATCAGTATGGAGATTCCTCAAAAAGCTAAAATGAGAAATTCCACTCAACCCAGCTATTCTCCTATTAGATATCTTCCCAAAAGACTTAAAGACATCATATTACAGTGATACATGCACACCCATGTTTACAGCAGCATAACTCCTAATAGCTAAATCTTTGAAGTGGCCTATATGTCCATCAATAGAAGAATGGATGAAGAAAGTGTGGTATTTATATACAATGGAGTACTACTCTGCTATAAAGGATAAATGTGAGCCATTCACATGGAAATGGATGGACTTTGAATCCATGATGTTAAGTGGAATAAATTAGACACACAAGCTTAAATATCACATGACTTCTCTTATATGAGAAACTCAAAGTATAAATAAATTAAAGTGCAAAATAAAAGACAGACGATAGGAAATAAGGAGACAGATCTTTTGAAAATGGGAAGAGGACCAGGCGAAGGAGGGAGGGAGGAAGGGGAAAGGAAACAAGATGTAATAATAGTTAAGATAAGTTAGGTACAGGTACTAACTCTCCACAATGAATGTAATCATTATGTACTGCAGACATGTGCCAATCAGGAAAAGAAAATAAATTCCCTGCAGACTGTGCCCAGCCTTACCGACTGCGTCTCTTCCCTGCCTCTGCCTCACAGAGGGTGACTTCCTTGTCACCTTGGAGTCAGGGACAGGCAAGGATGGAGAGGGCAGAACCCTGTTGGTGCTTTTTCCTGCTTCCGGAGGGTGTGGGCTCCCACGTGTCTGCCCAGTGAGGAGGCGGCTGACTCTGAGCTGTCATTAGGAGGTATCGGAGGGCCTCTCGCCTGGCCCACCACCGCCTGGGGGGCTCTCCACTAAGCTGGCTGGCTGCGTGGCAGTGTCCTTTTCCTGGGTTCTATAGGCCTCAAAGGCGATGGCCAATCACACAGCTGCCACGTTGACTCTGACCAAGGGAAGCAATGGCTCCCAATGGGACGTCCAGGGCCTCAGCGGCTGACTGTGAAGCTGGCCTTGCCCACACATGGCTCCCCCATCCCAGGCCCCACCCAGGTTGCGCCCTGGGTCAGCCGGGAGTCTCAGGTCTGCACCTTGCCCACTATCCCCCCAGAAGGACAGAAAAGCCAAGCCCTGCCAAGTGTGGTGACACATCTGCAATCCCAGCACTCTGGGAGGCTGAGGCAGGAGAATTGCAAGTTTGAGCCCAGCCTGGACCATATACAAGACTGGACTGAATTCAAGGCATAGGGAAGAGCATTGCATATAATTTCCTGGACATTTTCTCAGGGCTGGGTGAAACTCATGCATGCCAAGGAAGAATTCACCTTGTTCGTTATCTAGTAGTCAGGGGAGCCCAGGGCAGGAGATCTAGTGCAATTCCTTGGAGGCCTTATCTCAAGAAGGGAGGAGTAAGCACTCTGGGAAGCTGAAGCAGGAGGACTGCAAATTCAAGTCCACCCAGGACAACTTAGGGACTTAGCGAGACCTTGTCTCAATTAAATAAAAAAGGGCTTAAGATGTAGATCAGTGCAAAGGCCCTTGGTCTCAGTACCAAAAAAAGGGGAGGGGCTTATGAATCTGCCTCTTCTTTCCCTCTGGTTACCAAATGCCATTTGCACTGTACTTGCATCTGTGTGGTCTGCAGACCCGCTGTCCAGGCGGTGCCTCTGGATCCCGGGAAAGGGCCTGTCCCACAGATGTCACAGGGGCAGGAGGCCTCGAGTCCCTTGCAGAAAGGACTAAGATGCCACCACACCTGGAGCAGGGCTTGGCTCACAGTGGTGCCAGGCACCTGCCACGAAGGAGGGCAAACTTGCGCACGTCTTCTGATTTGCATGTTTATAAATCCCGGATGACAATGACATTCATTCATAGTGACAGTGGTGGAGCCTGAGGCCCCACATCTCAGAGCAACCTCACACAACTGGGAGGACCCAAGCGGCATGGTTCCCTTTGGGCCGCCAGGCCCTCACCTTCTTCTGGAAGCCCATGGTGGGGATGTTGCACCGCACCCCTGCATCTTCTTCATGGTTGCAGCCCTGTGACTCGGTGTTGAGTCTGCACTCGATGATGGACTTCTCGTTCCCTGTGCACTGGACCTCGTTGAGGTGGATGGGTCCGATCCCTGGTGAGGGAGGAGAAGGGAGCGCCAGGACAGCATCTGAAGGAGACTCTCTGACTGGCAAGAAATTCCCCGACATAAGAAGCTGCCTCTCCCATCCTCCAACTCCCAGCTGTCCCCATGGGAGGCGGCCCAGTGACCCAGGCTCTTGCTCCTGGAGACAACACTGCCAACTGTCTTGGGATTCACCTCTGCTAAGAGCAGGCAAAGTCCACGATGAGCCTGCGGGGTGGCCTCAGCCAGATCGCTCAGCCTCCCTGAGTACTGGCTTTCTCACATTAACAGGGGAGCTGAACTAGAAGATACTGAAGTGTCCTCCCTAGTACCAATATTCCAGGATTTATGCCTCTGAAGGGGGTGACTGTCACTGCGTCAGCCATGTCCCTGCATATGCCTTACACAAATTAGAACTGATTTGGAAAAGGGGAGTTTTAAAATACAAGTGCAGATGAGGTGTAGGGAAATCACAAAGGTGAGTCCAGTACTCCCGGATTACTAACCCTTCCATGAGTGAGAAAGAACCAGCATCTGGCCTGGGAGAGGAGAAGAGGGTGGAGAGAGGCCACCTATAGGAGCCGTCACTGTTGGTGGAGGGACACAGGGCCGATGGGGGCCCTGCAGGAAGAGAGATGTACCACCCCCTGCCCTCGGCCCACTCCAGTGCCTGCCAGTGCCCTGCTTGGCCAAGCCCAAGGATGCCCCCAGGGCCCTGGACATCAAGGGCAAGGGAGGGAGGGTCCCTGGAGGGGCAGGCAGGTCCATCCAGCAAGTGACCTGATAGTAACTCTTCATCATCAGAGCAACCTTTCCATGAAATGAGGAATCTGGGGACCAGAGACTGAGAGCATGTTTAATGACTGCATGTTGAAATCATCATATTTTGTATATATAGGGTTAAAGAAAATGTTATTAAAATAATTCAATCACGTAACAGGGCTCACACATATTTCTATTGGGCAGTACAGGTCTAGCACATCAGAGCTCCTTCACGAAGGGCTTGGTCCCTTGACCCTATTCTCCTGGAATGCATCCATGCATTAGTTCACTCATTCTTCTTCTCTGGGACACAATGAGCTAGGCATAGACTCTAAGGCCACAGGCCCCTCCCTCACACACACTCAGTCTTGGGGAGAGAGGATGTGCCAGTGGACAGCTGGGGTCCTGCTCTGTGCAGTGCTGAAGCACAAAGGGCAGCAGCTGGTGACCCAGTATCTGTCCTGGTGGGGCTGGAGTCAGAGCCTCAGGCACCCTCCACCCAGCCACTCTGCTCTGCAGGGCAAGATCCAAGGGCAGGAGGTCACTCAAGGTCTCCAGTAAGGTAGGTGTCTGGGCCAGGATGAGGACTCCCACTGCCTAACTCTCAGCAATTGCCTTTTCTCTACCCTGGGTGTGGGTGTGGTTGTTGTCTTCCATTATTGCAAGCCAGGATGGAAGAACTGATCCTGTCTGCCCTGTGCCACTGAATGTGGTGCTTTTCCTCTGGGATGACTGAGGTTGCCCACCCAGCGTAGCAGGAGGTGATGAGCCATCCAGTGGCTCTTTCAAGGCCAGCATCAGGGTTATCCAAGGCCTCTTTTTCCTAGGGTTCTCTAGGCCTGCGGGGAAATAATTAGGTCACAAAGCACCCACCCATGCTAAATGGATTCATGTCCCCGAGTGCTTGCTTATTCCTCTGAATGAGGGGCCCTGGTCCTATGGGGTTGGGAGAGCACAAACCCACATGTGAGTCAACCAGTGGAGCGGACTTCGCCGGGCAGCGAAGGAAGGTTGTGTGTCACATGGCATAACAGAGGCTGGCAAGTGGCACACCTGGCCCTAACCCCAACCTTCAGTGGATACCCAGGATGCAGGACAGAAGAGAGGCCGAGACAGCATCCAAATGTCAACAGGACTGGGCCAAGGGGGCAGAAGGGAGGAAACTGGGTCAGAGTCAGACTTGGGTGTCAGTCTTTCTCTGCCACTGGCTATTGGGGTGGCTTCAGACTCGAAGCCTGAGCTTCAGATTCCTCCTCTGATGGGCTGGAGGAGCTGAGGTTGTCTAAAATCCTGGTACTGTCACCCCAGTTCATGGGAGCCTCCCTCCAGCCTCAGGGGACCAATGAAGAGGTGACTCCCTGCAGACCGGGGCATGGCACAGCGTGGAAAAGACCAAGACACTGGACTAATGAGCTGCACCACTACAAGTGAGGCAGCTCGGGACTCTGGAGTGTCACCCAAGCAAACCACAGCATGTGCCATGCAGGCTCTGGGCGAGTGGGGACTGTTATTTCCTCCAGCCCGTGAGCAATGATCTCACCATGTTCTTTCCTGTGGGCTGATGGTCCCACGTGTGACAGTATGGGAGCATCTTCTCCCCGAAGCACAGGACACCCCTCCCATGCCTGCCACCCAGGCACCTTCCTCCCTGCTGGTTGGTGCTGAAGACATTCCAGGAAATGATGATGACTCCCTGCTCGGGCAAGTTCTCCAGGGAACAGCGGGGCACTCATGTCTGGGTGAAGGTTCCTTCTGAAGGACCAGGGCTGGCAATGATGGGTGTGTGGTCCCTGTGGGGCTCGTTGGGGAGGGAAGCAGTTCTGTGTCACCTTGCAGTGACAGCAGTGCTGTCCGTGGAACAACCCCTCAAAAGCCTCCTCCGCTTTTGTTCTTCACTTACATGGAAGATTTGTTCAGGACACTTAATAAACACCAGTCTCTCTCTCATTGGATGGAGGGCGTATCCTATTCCTTCTCTGCTGTCAAGGGGACAATATGGGGCTCTACCAGGGTGAAAAAGGGAGGTGACATCCTGTTCTTGTGTGTCCAACAGCATGATGGCTTCTGAGGTCCTCTCCTGGAGGAAGGGCCTGAAAATCCCAGCTTCCTCGGTGGGGCAGCGGAGAAAGAGCACAGGGTTGGGAGTCGGCAGACCCAGGTCAGAGTGTTTACCGCCTGCTAGTTTGTCCTCTAACCTTGCTCATTTACTCCCTTCTCTGGGCCTCAACTTCCAAATCCATAAAACAGGGACTCAGTGCCATCTAAGGCCCCTTCCAGCCCTGACCATCTGGGGAGGCCAGGGATTCCCCAAAGGATACCAGCTGCTGCAAGGAGGAGGAAGCACAAGAGCCACATGAGGTTGTGGCCACCAGCCAGAGAGGCTACGCTGTCCCAGGCAGAGAGGCCGCCCAGTAGCAGCCCTGCCCCTTACCTTGCCCCAGCCTGGAGCCAGTGACGGCCTCCTTGGCAGTCCCGAAGCCCAGCTCTCTGCAGACCACGCTGGCCGACACCAGGTCCCAGTTGTCGTCGCACACTGTCCCCCACTCTCCGTTCTTGAGCACCTCCACTCGGCCCTCCCCGACCTGGGCACCGCCTCTGAGCCGCACCAGGGGTTGCTGGAGAGACACACAGTCCTGCTAAGTGCAGAAGCGCATGCGTGTTCTGTGCATGTGTGTGCACGCGTGTGAATGCTTACCTGTACGCATGTGAGCACAGATACACGTGCGCATGTGTGTCTCGGGAGGCTTAGAAGGCTGAGCCACTGCCGACCCTGTGACTACACAGCTGTTCTGGCCGGATCAGACCAGAGTCCTTGTCCTACCCTGGCCTATGCCGTCCTCAGCTCACGACCCCTCAGTCCCCGCAGAGGACTGGGCCGGGGCAACCTTGGGTGGAGGTGGTGAATTTCAAGCATTCGCATCCACCAGCCACCTCGAGGGCGCCACATGAAGCTGTCTCCCCACCTCCTGGCCCTCTTTCCTCTGTGACGGCACCTAGGGTGGGGTTCTAGGGCAGCACCCAAACTTACAGACCCCCGGGACTACTCTTACCCTGACACTAGGGGCAGAAAAAAAGGGGAGCAGGTGGGAGTACGAAACACTCCATGGCTTCAGGAATGTTTATTCTCCCTTTACAAAACAAAACAATGAACGAAACTGCTGGTTCCAGCCAATTTTCTGCAGAACTGTGACCTCTCGCTTCCCTGACCTGCCTTCCCAAGATGTCCAGCTGGACTCGGAGGCCTTTCCCAGGGAGCACGTAACCCTGAGCTGAGCTCGAGGCGGCAAAGTGTCAAATAACCCCACCCACGCTCAGCAGTGGCCAGGCAGAGAGTCAGCTGGCTCTGGAGGGAAGACGGAAACCAAGGAAAATATGATGTAAGCCTCCCGCTGTCCTTCACTGGTTTGGGAGGAACTTGATTCCTTTGCTCTAAACCGCACAGCAGCGGAATTCCAGAACAGTAGGATCTGGTCCTCTGGCTTACACACGAGGGTCCCTCAGAGGCTCAGGCTCAGGGCGGGGAACAGGATGTGGGCATTAGACCACGTGGCAGTGGGGCAAGTGAGGGCAGGGGGCTGCACAGGACTGGTTTTCAGAGGACTGGGAAAGGGCGCTGTGCCCTGGCTGCAGGCATGGCTGATGGTATGGTCACATCTGTGCGCTTCCAAGGCCAGGGGGAACTGGGGAGGCAGGGCCACTGCCTCCCAGATTTACCAGGGAGCCACACGGAGTAGTCCCCACATGCAGGCCGAGGGCTGCATTTGCGGCTTTGATCCAAACACCTGCGCAGCCTGGGACAGGTACCCAGTGTGGTTTATTGCTCTCGCCCTTATTTCCTTTCTCGCAGGTCTGCAGGTGCTGACAGGGAGGATGGATAGGGCAGGAAGCAGAGAGGGCAGGAGGGGACACAGGGAGAGGAAGTGCTTCTCCTACCTACAACCTGTCCCCAGCAGCACTTCCCCTGCCCAGGGCCTGTCTTTCTCCTTGGCTCCCAATCACGCCTGGCTAGCCCACAGCTAACCTGGAACTCACCAGGCCCAGATGACAACTGCCGGGAGCCTACTGACTAGTGACCAACCCTCTCCTCCCTGTCCTTTTCTTCCCAGGTGCTGCCCCCTCCCGCACTGGGCCCCTTACCAGCAGTTTCACAGGGACCATTTGGTAGACTGATGAAAGAAGAAAAGCAGGAAAAAGACAAGCGAATGAGCTCTTTGTGACTATGGAGGAAGAGAGTAGAGGAAAGGTGAGCCTGCTGGGGTTGGGATAACTCATTTATCCTGAGAAATCTGTCAGTGGAGGTGGCAGTGTCAATTCACATGGGAAAATGAACACTGTATCTTGGAACTCCTCCCTCAACTCACTCCCACTCCCTCTCCCTCTCCCTCTCCCTCCCTCCCTCCCTCCCTCTCTCTCTCTCACACACACACACACACACACACACACACACACACCACATCAAGGTGTTAGTTCACATAAACATAATGTGACTAACAGAAGGATATTTGGACATGGTTAGTGCCAGGGATTTTTTTTATCTTGGAAAAGCCTTCCTCAGTGGCTATCCTTCCTTGCTGAAAAATAAGCCAAAACACGTTTGAAAACATTGTGGCTGGTGGCACGTGTTGTGGGGAGCTGTATGGTGTCCCCAAGAGTTCCAGCTGCTTTTTTCCTTCTGGAACTATGTAGGAGTCTGGCCACTCTGAACCATCTGCTCATGCATAAGCAGCCAGTGGTGGCCAACAATAAGGTGCCCTCCTGGCCCAGGGATTTGCCCTCCCAAAGGGACTCTGGTCTCCTCCTCTCTCCTGGGGTCCCTCCTGCTCCTACCACCCAACACCCCTACCAGGTGGCCGTGGCCACACCTCCTGCCCCACCCTCACCTCTGGTTTGTAGGCTTTCCGGAATCTCGAGGGTCCATCAGGGCTGAAGACCTGCCCAGGCACACAGCTGACCACTACGGGCTGCCCATTCTCACAGGTGATATTCTTCACAGGCTCCCGTGACACTTGGGGACCCAGCTTGCAGCTGGAGATGTGGGCTTCTGTGCCGGTGCAGTTCATGGAGTATGGCCAGTAACGCTTCTTCCTCCGTGTGGCGAGCATTCTGCAGAAGGCAGGAGGGGGCAGGTGACCAGGGCACCCTGGCACCCACTGGATGCCTTCTGAAGCCAGGCACAACAAGACAGGCGTGGTTCTGCTCCGCCCTGCTGCTCAGGCAGGGTCTCTGCCCAGTGCCTGATGCTAGCACCCCAGAGCAGTGATTCATGCTGGGCACTGGGGGGCAGGACTCCAGAGGTGCCCATGGCCTCCTGTTCTCCCATGATGAAATAATAACAGTGAAACTTGTAAACACAAAATGCAAAAGGAATATATAAAACAGGTGAGGTTCCTGATTCCAGAAATGCTCCCTGAAGTGTTGGCTACACTAACTCTTCAATAATGTCACCACAATCTGCTGTTATTTCCCAGCTTTATTTCTCTGGATCTATGAACAGTCCAAGCTGACTAAACTCTCCCGATGATAGACAAGATTAAATGTGTAAGTCCAGTGATAATAGTCTTACAGGAGTTTGTCGGCTGAATCAAATAAATTGCTCTGCAATGGAAACTACAATGGTAATGAAATTCTGCAACTGATTTCAGATCAAATCTTCACCCAGGAAAATCTGCAAGATTGAGTCTTTAATGCCCTGTCCTAGGGAAGCCCTTAGCCTGCATTTCCTATACACACACGTTGTCCCTTATTAGGTCTTTTTTCTCCTGAAGGCAGGATATGGATTAAGATAAGGCAAAGTTTCTTTTTTCTAAAACATCATCAAACCAATAAATAATGCATTGGTTAACAGGGAGGTTACAATGACTCAATTTCCTCATGCCCAAAGGAAAAGTAGTATAAATACGTACACCACAAGATTGTCCTGTGTATTAACCCATGTTCTGCAGCTATAATGGAGTTTCACAGATGAGATCATTTACACAATAGAATTTATTTGGCTTCTGGTTCTGGAGGCCGGAAAGTCCAGAAGTGTGGATCCAGCATCTGGGGCGGTGCGGGGTGGGCGGGGGGGCTGTGTTATCTCACGACAGAAGGACAAGCAAGCATACACAGGCAGAGAGGAAATGATAATTAACCCTGTCTCCAATAGTGGCATTAATCCATTCAGGAGGACAGAATGGCCTACTCAACTCTTAAAGCACTTGTTAAAGCAAAGAATTAGATAGCACTACGATAGTTAAAAGAGATAACACGTATAAAGCACTTAAAACAATGTCCAGAAATAGGATGTGCTTGTGAAAAAAATAAAAACTGTTGTGGTTGGGCCGGGGATTTAGTTCAGTGGTTCCACTGCCTGCCTCGAAAGCACAAGGTCCCGAGTTCAATACCAAAACAAAACAAAAAAAACTGTTGTGGTTAAAGGCACAAAAGAAAAAGGAATGAGAGCAGGAGGAATCCGTGTGGCTGGAGTGAGGAAGATGACCTCACGGGAGAGTGGGCTTTGAACTGGGCCTTGACTGACGATAGCTTTAAGGAGAAGGAGGGGAGGACACATGTCTTCGCATGCACTCGTCCCTGCTTGGCAAGACTCATCAAGATGTCACAAAAAGCCAGACATGGTCACTTGGCAGCAGCCTGGTGCAGGGACTCTGGGCAGGCTGATCTGGTTGGGTCGACAGTCCTCCACTTTACCAGCTGAGCTATTGAAGGGTGCCCTGGGCAGGCTGATCCCAGATGGGCCAGGAGTGGGGTCCCATCCCTGCTGGCCCAACTGCCCTGGAAATATCTGCTTTGTGAATGAGGTGCAAACATAGAGAAAGGGCAACTCCTCCAGATGCCATCATCATCTCTCCTTGACCAAAATTTAAGACTTGCGACAATTCTAGTATATCTGTGGGTACAACGACACGGAATCACAGCAATAAAGATTATCTTGGAAAATTCAGGATGTGAGCTCACTTCGGTGACGTCATAGAGCAGAGGCTCCAGGGGGGACTAGTAACAAGAACCAAGAACCCAAGGTCCACTGCCTGCCCCTCCCACTTCCTGCAAGGCCCCTGTGCCAGGAAACCCACAGCTTGTTTCCCTGACCCCCACACCCTCAGGAAACACCAGCTGCATGAAGACTTGTCAGACGGTGCTGGCTGGCCTTGGCTTAGGGAATTCCTGTTGCTTCCAGCTGTCAGAGAACACCACCCTCTCTAGGAACAGATGTAACGGAGGTCTTCAAAGTGACCCAGCAAGCAGAGCTGCCCCAGGCCCACTCCAGCCTTCCCCAGGCAGCTCGATTCCATCCTACATCAGCTCTGAGGAATGTGCCACCCACCTCACCCTCCGTAGGCCTTCGCCAGCCAGACCAGCCCTCCCCACACGAGTGTGATTCACTCTGACAGGCTGACCGGCCCCAGGGATGCAGAGAGGCGCCCTGCAGCCGTAAGCCTACTTACAAAAGAGGTCCCTGGGCCTATGGCAGGGTGGTAGCAGCAACACTGAGCTGGACCAGTTCCACTGAACATGGAAAGTCCTAGTGGCTTTCCCCAGCCAAGGGGAAGCCAGACTTTGTGGGTTCCAGCCAGCTGCTGAGTATGTCTGTTCCAATGCTACTTTCCACAACTGGGGATATCGCCACAGGATAGGGTTAGGGATTTACTGGACCCAGGATGAGGCAGACTTGAGCTAAAGCTCTACAAGCCTCCCTGACTAGCAGGCTGCTTTGGGTCTCTTGGAATAAGTAAGTGTCAGTTCAGAACCAACGTCCAGTAGTCCCTGAAAAATCTGATTATTTCCTTCTCCCCAGTGCAGTCATCCTGGCAAAGGGTCCCTCTGGAGAAGGCTGGGAGAAAGAGCAACAGTATATCTTTTTGGTGGGGTACCGAGGTCCTCCCTCACGGGGACCCACCTCCCCTTCATTCTGGGGTGCTTGGTTGGTAAACTGGCAAAGACTGGGCATTGACTGACCATGACTGTTTAGTTGCCCAGAGCTTGTCTGCATGTGCAGATCAAGGAAGATTCAGCAGGCTTCCTAGCTTACTTCGAAGAGCAGTCAACTGCCCAGGGCCAAGGTCTCAGGAGACAGACTATTCTCATGGCTGCTTGACTCTGCCGTCCCTTACAGGAGCCACGCCCCTTGCCTGATTGGGACCACTGGCTGATTGGGTGGCTGATTGGAACTACTGGCCCCTCCAGCCCTGGATCACTGCCATTGCATTTCGATTCCAGTTCAGTGGCTGCTTTGCCCACCGTGAGCCCCAGCCTCCAGAGAAGAGCCCTGACAGAGCTGAGGATGGTGGGGACTCTTCGCAGCGTCACAGGGACAGGTGTGCCTCCTAGCCCCCCGGTGTGACCGAGTGGGTCTTGAATGCTAATCCACCCTGACAGTCCCCTCTGCACCCCTTCCTCCATATCAGACCAAGGCCTAGTGCTTCCAGCTCAATCTTGGAGGGCAGCTTTCTGGGGCCCAGCTTTCTGCTCACTCACCCTCCAAACTGTCAGATCCTTTTCTAACTCCCGAACTGTGACATCAAATGAAGACTTGCTACTCAGTGAGCCACGTCAATAAACCAGAATCAATATTCAGGTCCTGCTTTGAGAAGAAAATGATGATGAGGATTACAAAATGCTGCTGGCCCTGGGGACCGGGTCCCAACGAAATCACTTTGTTGGCAAATGTTGGAGGAAGTGAGGCTCTGAGACTATGAGGGAAACTGAGGCCTATGAGTGGCCAGCAGGCTGCCAGGTGATCAGAGGGAGCCTCCTGCAGGACATGGGGGAGACTCCAAGATGGAGAGCCCCAGGGGTGACCAGAGCTATTAGGGCTATGCAGGGCTATGTGCAGGCCTATGAAATCCATAGGGGCCTGGAGGGATGGAGGGAGATTACTACACATACAGGCTGAGAGCTGCTTTACAACTACTTTCCTCCAGCCACAAGCCACTCTCATGCCTCGCCAACGTGATCCCAGCAACAGCAGCAGCAGGCTATAGGAAGGGTGACAAGGAGATGGGAAAGACTGCTGGCCTGGCCATCCCTCAGGACTTCTGTGGGCCTCAACATCTGATCTGTCCCCAGGCGAACTGTCCCACCTCTGCGGGCTCCCAGGGAGGACCAGTGTCATCCTAGAGCAGCTCTGGGCTCTTCAGGGGCTCGGCAGGAACAGCAGGAAACCGAGCCACTGCCCCTCAGGCCTCCCATTCCTCTGCAGACTGAAGCACCGGCGGAAGATCTCTGAGGCCTCACCACACCCCAGGAGTCCTGGCCTTTGCCCCCAGCTCCTCCGGCTGTGCCAACTCAGCCAGCCCCTGTGGGACCCCAGAGGATCAGAAACCTCCCTTTCTTGGGGCAGATGTCAGCCCAGAGACCAGCAAAAATGACAGAGACAAAGCCTGGGTTTTGTGCCCTCCCACCCAGAGGAGGAACTGGTTTCCGGAGGGGTGTGTCACTCATCACCCATCACAATGGGACACTGCCCACCACTGCTACCTTGTACCCCACCTGGCCTTCAAGGCCCTTCCCTCCTCCAAAGGCAAAACCAGACAAGGAGATGGGAAGAGTTGGGGTGGGTCAAACCCAGGTTTCAAACTTCGAACAAGCCATGTGCTCCTGGGCTCAGACCCTATGGCCAGCCTGCGGGACCTGGGGAGCTGACCCAGAGGAAGCCTGTTGGGGGAGAGGCTTGCTTTTCTTGGCTCCCGTGGGTAGGAAGAGCTGAGACAGTTACTAGGGCAGGTGCTGGGCCCTGTCTGGTGGCTCATATTCATCCCAGGGTGCTACCAGCACTCACTCTCCATGTCTGAGGCCTCACCATGTCTCCACTATTGATTCTCATCTCCTCATCTCTAGAATAGACTTCTAGTTCCCATTGGTGTTGCTAGGATTCAGTGACAAAGACAGTGCCTGGCATGTGGTAAGCACTCAGCAGAAGCTGGCATTGGTGCAATTCTATAGAGGAGACAGGAAAACCCCACTACCAACCAGCTTTCCGTAGCCCGGGTTCTGCATGTGCAGATTAAACCAACCTCAGATAGAAAATACTTAGAGAAAAGCGGGTCTGTATGGAACAGGTGCAGACTTTTCTTGTCAGCGTTCCCCAAACAGTACGAGTATGACAACTATTTACACTGCACCCACACTGTACTGGGTGTTGTACCTGATCTTGAGATGATTTAAAGTGGGGATGCCCCTCGGGTCAGGTAAGGAAGTCCTGTCACTACCTCTTCCCCTTGGGAAGTATTAACCTTGGGCACCATAGGAACACGGACAGGCTTCAGTGAAATGAACTGAATTGATCAGTTTCTCAATTACCTAGTAATTATCACAAGCTCTAGATTGCTCAGAATAATCAATGCTGAGGGCAAGTAAACATTTCTTCTGCAGTCAGTGCCAGCCTGCCCTGCCCAGTCTGGGATTTTCCCTGGTTTGGCCCATGTGGTCCCCTAGCTGGCTGTAGGCACTGAGAGGCGGGATCTGCTGGGCTGAGCACCTTGAAGTCTAAGCTGCCCTCGCTCTACACTGGGCCAGGCGTCTGGGGCCTTCTCCCGTGGGAGTGTGCGTCCCTCAGAGCTAAGGCTCTTGCTAGAGAGGCCCCAGGCCACAGACATGCATGGCCAGGACAGCAGGGAGGGCACAAGCCCAGGAAGCCCCAGCCAGTACAGCCTTCTTACTTGTAGGCCTTGGTGTTGTAAGTCTTCTCGCCAGGGAAACCGAACATGCCGCAGACCACGTGGGCATTCTTAGCCGTCCAGTGCTTGTCGCAGATCTGCTTCCAGGCCTTGCCCACCTTCACTTCCACGTAGCCCTCCGTGACCGGGGTCCGATGGCGGAAAGCTGAGAGGACGGCGCGGATCCGGATGTCCTCCACCTGGATATTCAGGTTCTGGGACGAAGGAGGGACAGAAGGAGAGGTTATGTCTCTGGTCTGGCCCTGGAGGGATGTCAAGTGCAGGTCCTTCCTTGGTGACCTCAGGCCGGTGGGCTGCTGGCCTGCCTGTGTCACGGGCTGTGCACGAGGCTGTGGGCACTCGCGGTGAGCACACAGCACAGAGCACAGTTACAGGGTGCTGTGCAAGGGACGTGGCATGGCTGCAGGGACCGAGGTGGGCGTGGGGGTGACCTGGAGTGATCTAAAAGCCTTAGGGGACCCTGGAATCTCCCCCGCATCCTGCCGAAGAAACCAGAGAGCTGTGAGCCTTTTCCCTCACAGGCCTCAGAAATCACAGCACGAGAGCAAATTTTTTTTGGAATTTTCAACAGGAAATAACTTGGATTTTGCATCTGACTCCCAAGCGTGTGCGTGCGTGCCTGTGACTATGTCCTCCACCAGCCCCATGTCTCCTGTAGCTGGGGTGAACCTCATATGGGCCCTCACCCTTGGGGTAGCACACCTCTGTTCAGACCCCCAGAGCCAGAGAGAGGGTGCGGGACAGGGCGCCCTCAGTGCCGAGCCTGTCCTGTGCTGGGCACCAACCTGAAGACGGAGGAGGTAGATAGGGCTAGGGACAGCTATTTGGCGGTGGCAAGGCAGGATCCTGATCCCCGTGGAAAGTCCCCCCCTCATGCCCGCTGTACTCATCTGTCTGGGCCAGTGGGGTAGATGCTGGGGATGGGAGAAGGCTGGACAGGAGGGTGGGAGGAAGGTGCCTCCTCCCCCCGACCCTGAGCGGGAATGTCCCTGTGCCATGGCTACACCAGAATCTCAGGGATCTGGGAGAGATGGGTCCTCCAGAGGCCACCATGAATGGGAGGAATGGCGGTAGGGAGTCCCCAGAGCTACAGTGTCACTGTTTAAACCTCTCCTAGGCACGCCCCAGCAGCCCCCAAATTCTGAGGAAGCGCCCTATGGAATCTCACGTCCACCCGTTTCTGCAACAGTGCATGGCCGAGTCCCTGCCTCCAGCTATCTGGCAGCCACCAGAGAGCTCTTCCTAACACCCCTCTCGCTGGCTCTGCTGAAAGGCTCCTCTTGGTCTATGTAATGCACCAACGACTGAGATGCCCACTGCCTTCATCACAGATCCTACCAATTCCTCCAAATCCTTCAATACCCTCAGCTCCACATCAACTCTCAGACACCATGAATTGTAACAGAGAATAGTAACAGCCAGTGTGAGTGCTCACCAGGCCAAGCCCCATGCTAATCCCTCTCTACGCATCCTCTTGTTTAATCCTCAAGCTGGATAATCAGGTGGTTTAGAGCACTGCATGCCTATTTTACAAATGAGAAAAACACTTGACTCAGTTACCTCCCCTAGAACACCCTGAGGCATACCCTGCACTGGCCTAGGGAGGGAGAGGTGGGACTAGTGACAGCCAGGCTCAGAGTCAGGAGCCCAGAGACCTTAGTGCCCCAGCCTGTCCAGCCAGGATGCAAATGAACCACCAGGTTGAACAGAACCATTATTCAAGTTCCCAAGGATTCATTTCTCTGCCTGCAGGCTTCCGGGTCCCAAGCCAGGTCCTGCCCCACAAATCCTGCAAGGTGATGGAAAGTATGCAGCCTGGAGTGATGGCATTTGGCCCTGCTTCCCTTCCACGCAGAGCAAAGGAAAGTGGCCAGGAGTAGGCTTATGTTTTCCAGCCTGGATCCTGGATCCTTTACAGCCATCATTCAGGCCGCAAGACCCGTGCCACTGAAACACGTGGACAAGGGCGAGCCAAGAAGGGGCCTGAGGTCTAATCCCACCCACAGGCCAGCCCCCTCCTGCCTCTGCCCACCTTGGGAGGCCACTAGCATTCCAGTGTGGAATGTGTCATGCCCAGGAGGAAAGTTATGGGCTGACCTCATTCCATTCACAGATCCTCTCCCAGCTGCAGGGTAGCAGCGCAGGCTGGAGGACTGGAGACGTGAGCACCGGCATGGCTCTAGAGGACGAGGAAGGCCCAGCCAGCGGAGCTTAGCTGAGCCCTTAGGAAGGGCCAGGCTAGCCACAGGGCTGTGGGCCAGCACACGCTCCCAGGAACCTGGCTCTGCTTCCGCCTCTGCAGGATGGGTCCCCTCTGCAGAGCAAGCTCCAGGTTAGGCACTTCACATGGAGAAGGGAAAGGGCAAGCCCTAGCTGTCACCATCCTTATTCCTACCCCGGGCACCATTTATATGTGTGTGCGTGCCTATGTATCATGTGAGACTCTGTGTGTCCGAATCTGTGTATGTGTCCCTGGAAGCAAGCATCTGCATTTGTGTGTCTGTGTGCAGGATCACCTGGCAAGTGTTGTCCTTGTGTTGTGTGGGTCTTTGCATACGTGTGTGTGTGTGTGTATGGTGATCATGGCACCTACAGCTCTCTGTACGGATGGGCGTGTGTCTGTATGTCTGTGGGCGGGGAAGAAGGAAAGAGACATGTCCCTTCCAGCACCCGAAGAGGACAATCAGGATGGGGTCCGTGCCGTTCCTCCAGTGTGGAACGTCTTCTCCCCTGCTTACTCCTAGGAACCAAATCCTTCCCATTCTGATAGGCTCAAATCTATCTCATCCACTCAGCAAAACACAGACTCTGTCCTACATGGGCCTCACCAGGCTTCCTCCCTGCTCTCCAACCAGTGCCCGTGTCCTCTTCGAATAGTGACTTCAATGGCCAGCGCTCATCGAATGCCAACCGTGTGCCAGGCTCTGTGCATAGAACTTTACATCCGTCCCTTCACTCAGTTCCCGTGACATCTATGAGCTGGCTAATGGGATATCTGTGTGCAGCTGAAAACTTAACGAGATTTTTGCAACATGTCTAAGTTCACACAGCCAATAAGCAGGTAAACAGGGAAGAAAACTGAGTTCTGGCCTGGAGCCCAAGTGCCCAGCTCACAGCGACCATGGATCTCCAAGTAGCCCTGGTATCGCACGTCCACGTCTTGCATTTGCCACATGGGGTGGGCCTTGGGTGTCACACTTCTGGGTGGTCCCTTTCAGGCCTGCTGGGCGCTGTGTGCATTGCACATCGGAAGTCCAGGACTCCACCCAGCAGGGATTGTGTACGTGAGGGGAGAGCTGCACTCCCAGATGCTCTGGGTCCTGGGCAGTGGGAGGCGACAGGGCAGCCCTCTGTCTGCACTCTGCACTCTTTCGAGCCAAGCTGCTCCTCTGGGCTGCTGGAGACTTCTGAGTTGGAAGCCACAAGCACGCATGCACAATCTCCTTCCTACCTCACTGCTGTGGAATCCCTTCTGTAACCACAAGTGCTAGGATTTTCTTTTTCCCAGAAGCTCAGCTCAGAAAGAGACCATTTGAAACATTAAAATAGACACACACTTTTCTTCCTTAATGAAGGGCTCTCTGGACTTGCTTATTTAAAATTAAACCCAGTAGTCCAGAAGGATGTCGACCATCTGACTTATTTTAAAATTCAATTTAAAATCTTAGGCTGTTCCTCCTGGCAGAGACCGAGGTTTCCTAAAGACTCACAGAAGGCCTGGACTTGTCCTACATGGGACTGGTCACATCCTATCACTCAGGGAGGCCTGGGGAACCATCAGCACCAGCTTCCAGAAGGAAAAATCAAGGCACAGAGAGGCCAGGGATGTGCCCTGCTTCAGCACAGTGGCTTAGCAGAAAGCAGGGCTAAGGAGGGAGTGCTTGGGCTGGAACAGCCAGGCTTGTGCCTGAATGACACTTAACTTTTGCAGCATCTGTTGATGACTTGCAAATTCCAAACTGTGCCAGTCTGGGGCTGTCACCAATGAGGAAGAATTACTCAGTTTAAAGTCTCTTGGAGATTGCATCAGAGAATGATGCAAGGGGAGGAAAGGAACAAAGTAAGACTACAAGAATTTACTGATAGCGTGGCTCAGAGCTCAGCATTAGGTAGACTGCCTCCCAACGGTCCTGTTTGCTAGGACAGATCCGAGCCCAGATGTCTTCTTTTTCCCTTTTCCAGAGATGTCTTTTGATATCAGTCCAGGCCCTGCTGCTGCAGAGTCAACACATCCCCTTACGCCAGCCTCCCGAGACTAACTGGTGTGCTCTGTGGCCCTCTACGTGGCATGCTGCTGTCCATTGCTAATGAATTGCTACATCTTGCTCTCAAAGATCGTGGCTTTCTTTCTTTATTTTTAAAAAATGGCCTGTGAGATTCAGACTGATCTTTCCTACTGCCAACATGCCACTCTCTCCAGTACTCAAACCAGACACACCCCAGATGCCCTCAATTCTTCCCCCTTTTATGCAGCCCCTGACCCACGCTTCTGCCCTGCGAGCTTTCCAGACCACAAGGTTCGCAGCATTATTTTCACCCTCTGTATTCCTCACTCTCATAGACCATTTGGCCCCAGTGATACCTGTTCTGTCTCTATCGGTTTTCCATCCACACTTCTAATGCCCGGCCAGGTGTGCAAGGAGAATGGCGGAAGTCCCTTTTTGCTCCAGGTTAATCTCTAATCCAATCCACAGACATTTATCCATGTTGACCCTGGCATCCACCCATGACTTGCTCAGCCTTTCCTGTGGTTTCTCAATGCCTGAGGCCCAACACACTCTCTGCAATTCTCTCCATCTCTTCTCTCTGCCTCTCAGAATCCTACAAAGCCTCTAGGTCAAATTGAATCATGCATTTATTCATAAATATTTATTGAGTGCTACTATGTCCCAGGCATTGCGTGAGATCTTGGGACACACAGGTCAGCCACAGAGGCAAGTTTCTTGCTGACGAAGTTCTGGATCCAGAGTGGGAGGCACTGCACTGCGTTCTCCGTGGAGTCCTTCCTTCATCTTCAAATAGCTCATCCAAGTAGGTCTGATTTTGTTTCTTTTCCTCTAGCATTTGCTTTCTGAGTCCCTGATTTAGTCCTTGACTTACACCAACTGCTTGCACTAGTATTGCAGACAGCTAAGTGAGGTAGGGACTGATAGGTGGTTCGAAAGGGCCCAGGCCCAAGATAAAAGTCGGAGCGGAGATGTGGCAAACCAGGCCTGTGGTCAATGGCCGGGCTGGTGGAAATGAGACCCCAAGATGCCTCCCCAGAGATAAACTGCTCTGAGCAGTCCTGCAAGCAGTGCCATCTGGCTCAGTCAGCCTGGAGACTACAACAGGCACATAGAAACAATGTAACAACCACATGGAGAGGACCAGAACATTCTGACCCACACCTACTCCTTCCAGAAATGCCTGGGTTCTTCTCTGTGCTACCATATTTCCCAGAAAATACGACTGGATCATGTATTAACTTTTGCTCCAAAAAACATCTTTATACATTCATGTATAAAGATGTACATTAATTCAAATACAATCATCTCATCTTCTTCTGGCACACTGTCATAACTCTCTAAACCCTGAACTCTGGCCTGAATTTCTTGCAACTCCATTTCCCGTAGAACCACTGGGCCCAAGCTCTCATGTCCAACAATAGAGCTCTCCTTAAATGAGCACTTCTTGTGTGTGTAGCCTGCTTATGGTACACTGACAACACCACTGTCAGTATTTTATCCCATGAATTCTTCACCCAAGTCACAACGTCTTGCAGGCTGGGCTTCAGGAAGTATCCATGAAATCGAACGTTAAGTGAAAACTTAGGAGACAGGAGTGGCAACAAAAATGATGACAGGGAGGAATGAGGGTCCACACAAAAGCCATGAAAAATTGCAGTCACCAAAATTCAGAAAACGATCCTTTATTTCACAGGAGCGTTAAGTGCACCCATGACAACACACGACGTATTGGATTATGAAGATTCATATTAGACACAACCTCATCGGTGCATCATTGGGTGTTCATATTATTTGTGCACTGTGTCTGTGCCCCGATGGGTCATTTGGCAGTAATCAGCTCATCTGTTGACAGAGGCATTTACCTCTTGTCCAAAGGTACCCACTTGATATTTACAAATACTTAATTATAATTTATATTGTCATTATTGTTAAGTATTAATGTCAATATTATTTATCTATACTCAATTATATATTAACATGATTACTTTATAATTCAATACGTCTGTCATGTGGTGCAACAGATGTACAAAATCTGGTTGATGATCTTAACTGGGGCTTATTTTGGGGTAGGGCTTATACCTGTTTTATGATGAGCATCCTGAAAAACCATGCTAGGGTTTACTTTCCAGTTCGATTTTCTACTCTTTTTTTTTTTTTTTTTTTTGGTACTAGGGATTGAACTCAGGACCTTGTGCTTGCAAGGCAGGCAGCAGAACCACTGAGCTAAATCCCCAGCCCCCAGTTACGTTTTATTTTGGGGGAAATATGGTATGTACCTTGCTATGTACCTTATTTTTTATATTAGCTTAGTGACTATACTTACGCTGATTACTGTGTGACCCAAGGTAACCTGTGAGGTGATTTTACTGTATAAAAACCCCTAGACAAAGAGACTTGACAGCTACCCACTTTAGGGACCCCTCCTGTCTCTCAGGAGCTTTCTCTCAATAAACCTTTCTTACCCTCTTCACCTCCTTTGTCCTCAAGTCCATTCTTCGGTACTGGGAGACATGAACTCGGTGCATCTGACATCTAACAGGTTGGGAGTTCCCTCCCTGTAACACTAGCATTTATCTTTCCATGTGTTTTGCCACCCTGTTGGACTGCAAATCTCCCAAAGGGCAAAACTGTGCCTTATCCATTTTTGTATCACCCACAGTTCCTACTGCCAGACACACAGTGGGTCCTCAAATATTTTTGGAATGAGCCAGTCATAATTTTTTAAAAATCCAACAAGAGTTCAGCTTAGCTAGAAATGTTAGGCACCTAAACCCAAGCCAAAAATTGTAATAAAGACTCCCTTTATTCTTTGTTGAATGCAAAATAAACATTGAGGCAGTCTTTGCGCTGTATCATAACACGAGCGTGCCTCGGGGGATTGATGGGCAGATGCAGAGAACATCGGCACTTTGTCTGGACGTTCTCTCCTCACCTGAGCTGTTTAGGACCTTGCCTTCTCTCCCCTGGGGACTTTGCATCAATAAACAGTGGCTGAGCTGGATTAAACTGGCTCTGATCCTCTGCACTGGGTTAGACCGCTGAGCAGGGTGTGTATTATCTGTGAACAGGAGGCAGCTGGGGAATTCGAAGTGTCTGCCCACAGTGTAATTATCCCCTGCTGATGAGCGAATCAGGAACCCACACTCTCAGGAGCAGCAGGGACGTTCTCCAGCCTGAGACGGGCTTCCCACTGGGTCTGACGGAAGGAAGGGAGAGGAGACAGGGACGGCGTTTCACAGCCGATTTCTGTTGCTCTGCTCTGCGCGGAGAGCAGTGGGGGCGGACAGCTGAGGTCACGCCGACGGCACCAGAGGAAAAAGCAGGCTGTCTGTCTGGGCCCCTACTGTAAATCAAGAGCTGTGCATTGCTGCTGGAAAATGAAATGCTCTTGTTTTCATTTTCCAACCTGGAAGCACTTGGTTAGGTAACAGAGGCTGCTTCTTTGGGGAGCAGGCAAGCCCTTCTGTGGGCAGGAAGCTGGCATGACACCTGCTCCAGCAACCAGCCCTGCTGGCCCGGGCTGGGTGCTGAGGCTGCACACCATGCAAGTCCTGGGCCCAGCCAGACTGTCCACCACACACTCTGGTTCCTCACAGCAACTGTCACCATGGCAACGGAGAAATGAGTCCTGAAAGCTGTCTTTCTCCACTGCTCAAGAGTAAGGTCAGCAACGGCAAGACTGTCTGTTCCACTGATCTCTTTATCCTTATGCCCATCGTAGGTAGGGTCTGGTGCTCAATTCAAGGGCATGGAGTAGCTGGGCATGGTAAACACACACCTGTAATCCCAGCACGCTGAGATGTTGAGGCAGGAGGTTTGCAAATTCCGAGTCCAGCCAACTCAGTGAGATCCTGTCTCAATTTAAAAAAGGGCTAGAGATATAGCTCAGTGTGAAGGCTCAATCCTAGTATCAAAAAAAGGTATGGAATGAATGAATGAACAGATTCCTAGCAACAGCCTCACAGGTGTGGAGTGGGGGGACCTTTGCGTTGACCAGGCAGCATGGCTGAGGTGCCTCAGTGAACCATTGGGACCTATTACAGGGCCAGGCTGGACACTACCAGCCCATGTTTCAGAATGGGCTGCCACCCAGGGAAGGGAGTAGCTGGTCTCTCCCATTAATCTTCTCTGCTCCAAACTGCCATATGCAACTTACTGTCCAACCCACACAGCTTAAAGTTTGAGTGCATACAGTTCATTCATTCATTTCACCTAGAACAAATTACAACACCCCTTCTTGACTTATGTAACCTAACAAGTAAGACTGATGTTACTTACTTGTTTGTTTCAAATTGCAAACAGTTACAACAATGGTATTCATGCTTTTCAAATGGTTACATGGGCAACACCCAGGCCAAGGACCAAGTTTCCAGATTTGCAAGGATGTGCACAATTTCAAATATTTTGTTCTGTTATCCGCATAAACACCCTTTAGCTTTTCAGACGTGGTGACCTATTTTTGGTTAGGAAAATAGGTCACCTTAAAGCAACTTCTCTGTGTGCCTTGTGGTTGGCCTGCCCTGGCCACATGCAGGCTCCCAGTGAATAGAATCAGGGGAACAGGGCAGGATCTGATACATCCCCTTGCTCAGGGTGCCTGTGGCAGAGATGACACCCAGAGCTACATCTGATTGTCCAGTTGGACAGCTTGGCACAGCCAAGATCATCTTGCAGGACTGTGGCATCCACCTTAGCTCTTTCTCCTTTGTGCATGAGTCTGGCACAAATGATCCACTGCCACATTTCTCTTTCTACCAGAGAAAGCTGTGCAGCTATCCTGTGACCACTTGGGAAAAGGGGTCCACATTGACGCTGGGGAGCCCATCACCTTCTAGACTACACACAGGTGAAAACTGTCCCACTTTGTTTCCTAAACCAAGCAGTGCAACTTGTCACAGCTACTCTCATGCCAGGAGAAGGGTCACTGAACTCCTGGCTGGGAAGTGGCCACTTTTCTGGAAGTCTCTCTAGAGACCCTTGACTCTCGGAGCCCCCAGAGGCAGACAGATAAGGCTGCTGCTGGGAGGGCAGTGTGGAAACATTTGGCAGCTGACTGTGACTAATAAAAACCTGGATGCCTGGAATTTAAAACATTTGCAGCAGCCCCAGTCCGTGTGGTTAAGAGAAGAAAGGGCTTTTTCAGGTCTCTGCGTTCTTCCAGAAAGCAAGGGAGAGGAGGATGGGGTACTGGGTTCTCCCTTCATCCCTTGGGTGGACATGAATGACTTTCTTATGGCTCTGTCCTCATCAGCTCTCTTTGGGCCCTCAAGCCCCCTGGGCTGCCTACTGTCACAAAGGAGAAACTGAGGCTCAGAGATCAGTCGGGTGATTAGCAACATCTAAATCTCACAGCCTGGGGATTTCTGATCAATTCTGGTAACCTAGCTTTTTGCAAAGAGTCTTAGAAATGGGTAAGGAAGAAGGTAGAGTGAAGGGGTGAGGGTAAAATCCCTGTTTCCTGATCTAACAAAACGAGGCCCAAGCCCGGAGCCTTCTACGAGCACATGACCCTGCAACGTGCAAGCACTTTGCTCAGAAGGGCATCTGGACTTGTCATCTCTCCTTATCTAATGCTTTTTCCAACTTGTCCACTCACCACAGACAGGAAACAAAGCTTCTTGGTTTTAAGAGCCTCTGAACCCCTGGGAGGTTTGGTTGAGGCTCTGTTCTCCAAGCTTAAAAAAGATCTGTTCTTTTTTGAGGCCAACAGCAGTGCACATTTTATTATTTGTTCCTGCCTGCCTCCTGTTAAGAAAGTTTTCACGATTGACCCAAGACTCCTTTTTTCTTATATTCACCCAAACTTTTGTTTTACAGTGTGGCATTCAGGGGCTCAAGAGGGGCCAGCTGCTCTGGACACACAGCTGAAAATCTCCCTCACTCAGCCTGGAACTCAAGCCTTCAGCTTGGGGGTTTAAAACTGAGAATTCACAGCCAGACAAGGAGGCACCATGTGTGTTGGGGAAGGGGAGGAGGGAGACCCTACTCTTTTAATTTCCTGCATGAAATGATCACAGGCTCATTCATGCGAGGAATATGTGCTCTCTCTGGCCTCCAGAGGGGAATTCACCGAGTGTCAAGAAGACCAGCTCAAGCCTGGAGCAGATGCACATGTCCAGGGAAGCAGTTAGCTCATCAAGTGAAATTCCATCCACTCGCCTCAGGGCTTCTTCCGTGACTCACGCTCCTGGCCTCACAGAGTGGGATGAACTGGTTAGGGAAGCACAATCTATTACCGCACCGCAGAGCCTGTAAAGCATTTCTGTAGAAACTGTCTGAGTTTTTCTCCTGCACAGTATTTAAAACAACCTTGCAACTGGTGAGTACCCGACACACCAGTTCTGATGGAGAAACTGTTGCGACTGTCTGAGACTTGCCCAGTGTTCTGGCTAGAGATACCTCAGGGTCAAGCCTACGGACTCATGCTTGGGGGAGCTCATTTGAGGGACAATGTTTCCTCCCCCACAGGAGAATAAAGTGTCCTCTAGAGCAGACTACAGTGTCAGGTGGGCACAGAAGTGCAGGGAAGCAAACTGGTTTCAGGCTGAGTGAAATCCCATCAGCCAGGCTCGGGGCTTGTGACTCACACCTCTGGCACCCCTGAGGGGGATGAACAAGGTCTAGACTGATGTGCTGTTTTCTTCCACTCTCTGCCTGGGGAGCTCTGGTGCACTCGAGAGGAGGCACACACACCTGTGAGGGTTGGGCTAAGCCTGTTACCTGTCTTTGATCTCCAGGCATTAATGAGGATGATGGTTCCTGCAGAGGAGTGGAAAGAGACAGGGATGTCTCACCAGCTCCATTAGTCCAGGGGTTCACAGCTGGGTCACAGACATGGAGAAAGCATTAACTGACCCTTCATTTCTGGTCACACTTCACTCTTGATCACTTTTGAAATCAGAGGCCCCAAGCTGGGGGGATGTTGGGAAGGGCTTTTACCCTCACCCTTAGACATAGAAGAGTGAGGATCTGAAGTCTGCAGCTGGTTTCCAGGTCAAGAACAGGCAGGGAGAAGGACAGAGCCCACAACGTACACACCGGTTGACATCCCTTCTGTGCGTGTGACACACATGGCTGGCACCAATTTACACAACAACCTACACGGCCAGTAGACACCTCCAACTTGGTATAGGTGCAATTCACAGATGAAGAATAACGGGATCTCAGAATTTGGCGATCACTTAATCCCACTTCCTTCCCCAAGAAGGGATCTGACCGCAATATTCCTGGCAGGTCATCCAGGGTCTGTTTGGAAGTCTCCAGCAACCAGGAGCTCACCACAAATGAAGGGAAGTATGGGCTTCGCCTCAGCTGGAATCTGCCCCCCATTACCTGCCCTTTGGCCTTTGCTGTGAGAGTTGGAATAAATGATAAACATTTGCCTTCATGGCAGTTCTTCAAATATCTGAAGAGAACTGCCTTGCTTCCTCCTCCATTTCTTTTCCTGTCAAAAATTTTTCACTGCCTTATATGATATGGTATCCAGACCAATCAACACCTTCAGAGATTGGTTTTTAATAATCAATGCTTTTCAGTCATTGTCTATAATGCCTGCACTCTTGTGGCTGAGTTTTGTTTCCTATGAACTGTAATATAGAATCATATATTTAATGTCCTATAGGTTCAAAATATATTATCATTATTGTGACCCTTTGGACCTATTATTTCAGCTTCCTGTAGGTTCCTGAATCTTTCTTCAATCCATGATTTTATTTCTCAGCAACCCTTCCTAGTTTTGTATCTCCTCTACATGTTATCAGTCCACATTTTAATTTCCATGATACATGATGGGTAGGCGGGGGCAGAGCCCTCCCACACACCATTAGAGGCCATCCACTGTGTTTATTCCAAATTAGTCACCAGTTCTCCGTGGGTATCCTTAGTCAGTACTCCATGACTCCGCCTATGGGTGCGTCCACCAAAGTGGTCTCTTCCTCTTGTCCACAAAAATGTGACAGTGTGCATTTCTATAGCTAAGAGGAATGATTCCATGATCTCAGCTACAGACACAGCCCATCCCTTGAAGTGTTCTGGAGAACTCAGCATCCCACAAACATCTGCTGTAGGTGGTCTAGGTGGCTCTCTCCCCGTGAAGCCAGTGATGCCAGGAAGCATGAGCGTTAGCCACAAAGCCCAGGAGGCAAGAATCTTCTGACAACTCCCAAAGGCCTTCCTTGGGCAGCCTGAATCCTGGCCCCTGCATGACCTGTTTTTAGCAGGGGGAGTCTTGAGAGGTGATGTGTCCCCTCCACATTGTGGCTGGACAAGAATGCTCCATCCTGGTTCATGGTCACCAGTCTGGTCTGAATGACAGCATAAAAGAGGCCTTCTAAGAAAATGCAAAGTGCGAAGGCTGTGAATGTCAATGTCACCTGGTCCTTCAAACCAGATGTCTGGCCTGGTTACTGTTACTGCATTCGGATCTGTGTGCTTTGCCTGGAATGATCCTCCAGCTTACCCTGGGCATACAGCTGTCTTCCTAGGTCCTAGGGACCATGTCCCTCTCTGGCTGATGCCTCAGACCATGATGTGGTTGGCAGGCACCCCACAAATGTCCAGAATAAAGAATAAAGGTGGGTCCTATGCTTTCCTATTGTATAATAGCAGCCCTACCAGAACAAGAACGTTCTCCCCAACATTTTCTCTTCCTGAATCTCTCTTTTCCACCCTATGAGGTTCTGCTTTTGATGCAATCCACCTCAATTCCCCTCCAAACACTAAGCATCAGAACTACCACAGAGTAAGTATTCAATACACATTTATCTAATGAAGTGCCACTCAGAGTCCTTTTTCCGGGATCATCTTTTCATTTACTCAACCCCAAGCTCACTGATGTTCTGGCTTATCTTCCTTTTATTCAAGAAGACTTTCTAGTCCCAACAAGCCTGGCTCTTCACTTGACACTCCAATGGCTTTTCTGAGGTTCTAGGCTGAATGGGGACCCATCAAAGGTGCTGGGAATGAACTCATTGTCCTATCAGGCAGGGCAATGCTATGAAGGAATGACCCTCTCCGATGTGTCACTGCTTAGTCTAATATTGTATTCTGGGGGATTCTCTCCCTAAAAGAATAATGATTTGGGGGAGAAAAAGATTGTTGAGTTGGAGATATTGTTGCCATGAGGTACCTAGATTTATCTGTTGGCTACAGTGATGACTAAGACACAGCTCCTGCTCCTCAGGGGCTTCTGGTCTCCTCAGAGAGATGAGCTATTTACCAGTGGGTGATAACTGTTCCACACAAGACCATAAAGAGTGGAGATGAGAAGTTCTGTGAGACTGGGTTGCACAAGCCCACTCCCAAAATCACTGACTCCTCCAAAGAGTAAAGCTGTCTTCAGTTATGTTCAGTTACTAAATAAAGCAGGGGTCCCGACACCAGGGCCATGAACCAATACCCTACTGGGCCACAGACTTGTTAGGAACAGCACCACACAGCAGGGGGCGAGTGGCAGGCAAATGAGCAAAGCTTCATCTGTATTTCCGGCCACTCTCATCTCTGGCATTGCCGCCTGAGCTCCACCTCCTGTCAGATCATCGGGGCCACTGGATTCTCATATGAGCAAGGACCCTACCGTTAACCAGACATGTGAGGGTTTCATGCTCTTTTGAATCATCCTGAAACCAGAACCCCATGCCCCTGCCTCTTCTCCCTCCTGTCCATGGAAAAATTCTCTCCCACGAAACTTGTCCTTGGTGCCAAGAAGGTGGGGAACACTGAAATAAAGTATGTCTACTCTACAGTATGTGCTCTGGTTATCAAGAGCGCATATGAAGAGTGTCAGGTAGAAGTAGTCTCTCTCAGCTGAGGGAAGGATGGAAATCCTTCCCATGCTCACTGCAGCTGGACCAGTGCCCAGTGGGCCTGGTGTACAGAGAGGAGCAGGCAGCGTGAGTCATGAGGAGAAAATGTGGACTACAGTCTGGGGAGAACTTCCTCAGGAGCCCAAATAAGGCAATTTCAAGTCACCTTTCTTCAGCCTTAGGGCTGGCACTGGCTGGAGGTCAAGGCTCAGTGACACTCCTTGGCCTGTGTCCATGGTGGATCCCACTGCCCCATGGCGGTGACATCCAACATGTTCCTCAAGGACAGGAGTCTCAGCATCCTGCTCCTCCTGCCCAAAAGCCCACATGCTTTGCATATAAGAGGAATTCAATCGCTTGATAATTTAGTTCTTTACATGAAGAAATTGTAGAAAAGCTCAATCTGAAACTGAGCCATAAATGTACAAGAAGGGTCACAAACCCTTCTCATTGGCCACTTCCAAAAGCAGACTTGGGCCACCAACATCAGAGTCATCTGAGAGAGCATTAATAAAAACAAGCTAGTCCCATAGTGGGAAATTCTCATTCAGTAGGTCAAAATGAGGCCCCAGTGTCTGCAGTTGTAAAGTGGCTCTGGTCCCCAGCTAGATTGGGGACAACTGTCCCATGGTTGCCAGCCTCCAAGATGGCCCCCAATGATCTCCACCATCTGCATTCATTCCCTTGTGTCATCTCCTCCCAGATGGGACCAGGGTTGGTCTGTGTGACCAAGAGACTAGAGCAGAAATGATGGTCATCACTTCTGAGCGTGGGTTATCAAAGACTGTGGCTCCCATCAGCAGTTTCTCTTCTATGAATCACTCATCCTGGGGGGAGACACTGAGGACATATCTTGAGGACACTGAGGCCGCTTATGGAGAAGCTGTGCTGAGCGGAAAAGGGAGTTCCAGCCAGTAGCTAGTGCCCGCCCTCAATCACATGAGTCAGCAGGGGAAGGGGTACAGCTTCATGGGAAAGAATCAGGTCGTTAAGCCTCCACTGGCTTCTTGACCCATGGAAACTGTGAGATGATTCATGTTGGTTGTGTTAGGCTGAAAAATCTGGAAGCAAATTGTTATGCAGCAAGTGCTAACTAATACATTTTCCCACCAAAGGGCAAGCTCCCACACACGGCTCACCTACCTTCCCAGCCTGAGCTCACATGCTCCTAAATAGATGCACATCACCTTGGTAATCATCCCCTGCTCGCCACCAGGCCACGCTCCTCACCTCTGTGCCTGGATGCCCTTCCCCATGGATGACATCCCCTTCTCCAGAAATCCTCCCTGAAACTGCCCTTCAGGGTTGGTCCCCTCCTTGGTGTTCACGTACACTTCTTGAAATCAGTGGGAAAGCGGCAAGTTACATGGAAGAAGAACATTCACATCAAGAACTCATCAAGAGCATAGAACTTGCCTCTATCTGGTTGATCAATGAGTTGTCAAATTTGAACCCAGGAATCCTTTTCTCACTGCACACCACACCAACATCCTCTGTGTGTTTGCAGTCGGTGACTCCCCAGCCGTTGGAGGAGCAGGCTGCCAGGGTGGCCTCGCTGCCCGTGCAGTAGACATTGTCCAACCAGATGGGCCCTAAAGGAAGCAGAGCAGAGAAACTCAGCATTACGTTAGGGCAGGTGTGGGTGTCTGGAGCACCAGTGTTTCACATGGAAAGAGGACTTCTGCGCACTGTGTGCAGCTAGCGATGGATTCTTATTGTGCTAAGATACTGCATTTAATCCTAGACCGTCTGGATTCCCTTACCAGATCAGGCAGCTGATATGATGTGGAGAAGTAGTAGACCAAGCACAGTCAGGACAGAAGTCAGATGTAAGCCTAGAAGTTATATGGCACAGTGTAAAGAGCAGAGGCTTTGGAGCCTATGGGCTTTGAATTCCGCTTCAGCCTCTTTAGCTTTATGACCTCGGTCGAAGCCCCTTTGCCTATCAGCAAAGTGGGGACAATATGGACCCTTGAGTTGCTGAAGTGTGTGCTGATTAGCATAATATATGGCACATGCCTAGTTTATTGCTGATCCATAGTTACTTAAAGTGGTGACAATGATGAAGAGGAAGAGGATTATAGTTACACCAACTACGGCACCAGCCAACCTTCCCTGCCATATGCAGCAGAGCAGAGGCTGACCTCTGACCCCTCGGGGGAAAAGACAACTGTTCTGGCGTTAAGGGTTTGCAGTTTTTCAGGTATTTTCGCACTTATTATCTCCTGGATCTTTCCATACAGGAGGAAGAGGACACGTGGGCATGATCATTCCCACTTCATAGATGCAGAGCTCTGGCTCAGAGGGAGGGCATCCCATGGTGCCAGGCCACTCTCTGAGCCAAGAAGCCTGGGCCTCGATTCCCCATTCAGTGCCCTTCCCACTTCCGGACATCGCCCTATCACTGAGGGAAGGGCCTGCCACACTAAGCCACAGAGGCCCTCATCACATTCTGCAAGACCACTGTGGAACTCTGCCCACCTCCCGTTCTTTATCTCTATTGCACTAAGTAGAATTACGTGTGTGAAGTGCTAGAGGGCTAACCACATCAAGACTCTTCCTGCCACTTCTAAGGTAGCTACTATCAAAAACACAGAACGTGACAAGTGCTGGCGAGGACGTGAAGGAACCGGAGCCCCACGCACCACTCGGGTACACACAGCACACAGTTGCTGTGGAAAGCAGCATGGTGTTCCTCAAAAAATTAAAAATAAATCTTTCACCGGGTTGGGCAATTCCACTTCTGGGTGCCCATCCAAAGAACTGAAAGCAGGGTCTTGAAGAGATATCTGCACATCCAGATCTACGTTCATAGCAGCACTATTCATAACTGTCAAAAGGTAGAAGAAACTCAAGTGCTTGTTGACAAATTGCAGTCTATATATACAATGATACAACCTTTAAAAGCACCCCCAGGGCCAGGGATTTAGCTCAGTGGTTTCACCGCCTGCTGTGCAAGCGCAAGGTCCTGAGTTTGATCCCTGGTACCAAAAAAAAAGCCTCCCCCCAAATTTTGTCACATCCTACGACATGGAGTACCCTTGAGGACACTGTGCTAAGTGGAATAAGCCAGTCAGGCAAGGAAAAATACTGGATGATTCCTCTTATATGAGGCACCTCAAGAAGCCAAAGTCCTAGAAACAGAAAGTAGAATAGGGTTGCCAGGGCCTGGGAGAGGGGGTGGGGAGTGGCTGTTTAGTAGGGACAGAGTTTCAGTTTTCCAAGATGAAAAAGCTCTGGAGATCAGCTGCACAGGAGTGTGAACATACCGAACCATACTGGATTGTACACTGAAAGATGCTTAAGATGTGTACTTTCTGTTATGTACATTTTACCACAATCAAAAATAAATACTAAGAAAGGCATTAAAGGGTTTTCAACTAGTGATTTTTATACATGTCACCACAAACTGAAAGAAAGCAAAACCAAGTCTCCCATTTTTCTCATGGCTCCATTAGAAGCCTGTAGAACAGCAGGGTCCCTCAACCCACCTGCCACGTCCTGGTTCTCATTTCTAAAGTAAAAACACTGCCCAACAAGCAGGTTGCCATGGAGATCCAATGAAACACAGGAAGTGTGAGGACACATTCAGACCTCCTTTCCTCCTTCCAGATGTCAGAAAACAGTGAATTCTAGTGCTTCCATTACACAAGCAAAAGGAGACAAAAACACACCCATTGTACAGATAGAAATCGAGGCAAGAGGCTGGGGTTCTTTAAGGTCAGGGAGGACGTGGGGCCTGTCTCCTGACTCCCAGGTGTGGCTGGAACGCATCTGCTCTGATAGATGGCTGGTCAGGGCTCAAAGGAGAGCGCTTCGGACGTGTTGTGGGAACAAAGAGTTTATTGAAAACATCTGGGCTGAGGTTTTCCAACTGGTTTCTCAATCTGGCCTGGTTTTCAAGCCGTCAAGCTCCACTGAAACATGTGCTCCCCCAATCGATTGCTGTCTCTACAACAAGCTGGTGTTTGTGTTACTAAGTACTAGCAGTGGAAAAGACCCTCTGAATTCTACTGGGGGCCTCTTGCTTGGAATGCTCTGTAGCTAAGCGGCAGAGGGGCAGAGGGTGAGAAGAAGTGGAGTCCTTATTCCTTCTATAGCCAGAGACACCCCCTCACCATGGGACCCGAAGCAGGTCACGGCACCTTGAAAGAAACTGTGTAGCTGCAAACCCCAATATGCTGGGGCCGGCTTCACTTTCTGCTATGGAGCATGTGGAATTAGCACCCTGGAATACAAGGAAGCTGAACTACCCACAATACCTGCTGTCTTCCATACCATCCTAGACTCCCAAAAGTCCTACCCTCTATATATTCTTTGTCAGTCACTTAGATTTTGGTTATGTAAATCTGTACTTAGCACAACGCACACCATGCACAGTGTACTATTTGGCCTGATTTCATGGCAGTGGTTTTTTTTCTCCTTTCCCATATGGCTGTTGCCCATGAGCTACTGTCCCAAGTTCACTGCAGCCAACTCTGAGTCTGCCTGCTGGAACCCAAGCTGGTTCTAGGCATCTAGGTGGCATCCAGCTGCTAGCAAAGTAATACTTGGGACGTGAGACAAGGCACACACGGAGGCCACATAAAAGCCATTCAATCAAAAGCAAAACTGCATTTTATTCTTTCCACTCATTTACTCTAAAAAATGTCTCTCCCAAAGAAGGAAGAGATGTGTGAGCAAATGAACAGGTCCTTTGGAGGACAGAGGTCATAAATGAAATGCTGTTTGAAAGCCAGGTCCCTGGGCTCTGTCAGAGTGATGGAAATTGTTTAAGTTAGAATTTGCAGGATTCTGGCTTTGTCAGAGGGGACTGGCTTTGTTGCTTTCCTCGGGAGTGGGGTGTAGTTGTGTGGAGAGCTCTTACTTTGGATCAGTTGCCATGAGAGCCACCCAAGGAGTGAGCAGTGAGCCATCTGTCCCTTCTAGAATGCTAAAAGGACCCAGGGTTTACCTGGGCTCAGAGGTGCTTTGGGAGCAGAGACCCGCTGAGATTTCAGGCTGGAAAGCCCCAGAGGTCCAGGTGCTCACCTTGGTTTCATTACCACAGCCTGGGCCTCAGAGGGGTTTGGGGACCTAAGAGGGGCAACCTCTTACAGGGTCAGCCACTGGGTTCCCAGCCCATCCACAGAGCCTGATTGCAGCTTACTCCGCCAGGGCAACTCCAGGACATGCTCTGTGGGCAGTGTACCACATGCTGTTTTGGCAGTTTCTTTTGATATTCTCCCAGATCAAAATGAATCAATCCGCTAGTACTTAGAAAGTAAGTACCTATTACGTACCCAGTGCTGAAACAACAAAACCCTGGCCAATGCTAATGGAATTCAAATACATTTCTATTTAGAAGGTCTCTCATGATGCAAACCAAGTACCACTCTATATACATGGCTTAACTCAAAACTCCACCCACAGGACTGCTCATTTTGTCTAGATCTCTTTCTGTCCTCTTCCTGAGCCATTCCTGTCATACCCTGTGATGGCTTCGGTGTCTACACAGATGGCCCCTCCAGGACTCTCGGCCTCTCAGTTGCTACACTTCCTCCTCCAGTGGCTTCTCTCCACCCACCTCCAGCTACTCCCCAAGCAACCTCACACCTCCGATCTCCATTTCCACTGCATCCGCACTTCCTCCCATCTTCCGGGGTATCCGGGAGTATGGTAATCTCAGCAGAGATGCTCAAGCCATCCATCGTGGCAGCTCTGCACAACCCTTCAGTCGCTTTCCTCCTTACCCAGCATTTCCATTCATCTCTCCTCTACTGTCTTGAACTCTTGACCTCTCATCATCCTTAAGACTGCAAAGTCCCACCCAGGTACACCTACCGTCCCAGCTACCCCATGCGTGGAAAAAGCCACAACCACCTTATCTAAAGATAGATGGCATTTAAATTTGGGTAGAAATAAAGGTGTCACTGGGGGAAGAACACCCCACTGTCACTGGGAGTACTGTCATAAAACAATGAAGACTAGAGAGCCTGGAATAGAAAAGATGACCCTGATGTTACCCTTGGATCACTTAGCTAGCAGAATAAGCAGATGTAGCTGCATGGAGGAGAGCTGTAAGTTTTGTTAATGAAGACAGGAAATGGGTTCTGAGTCTGCTAGCTCATCTTGGCTGCTTTGGCTCTGACACTGCTAAGGAGCTCAGAATGAGTTTCTAAGAACATTGAAGTCTTAAATGCAGGCTTTTGAGCCAGTTCTCCTGATGAGAAATTTTCTGTTTCACAGAGGTGAGGCATACATGAGATGGTGCCTCTTCTCTCCTGTAATTTCTAGAATAACAGAAAGAAGAGTCATAAGGAAGCCTAACAGTTGTCTATTTTACTGCCTCTCACACCTGGTTACATACGCGAGCCTGTCACAAGCTCCCAAAAGCTGCAGACTCTCAAGTCCCAGTCCAGACCTTTGAAACTAGAGTATCATGAGTTGAGGTCTGCGATGTGCTGGATGTCTAAGGCCCTTCAGGAAAGATTTACAAAGTCAGCATGACAATGACCTCACTCGCAGGATGAGTATGGGCATCCGGGCAGCCTGATCTATGCCCAGCCCTGCCCAGCATACAGCTGGTGAATAGATGCCTTTGCTTTACCAACACAGGGACACAGACTCTTAGCTCCTAGAAAGAAATATTTTAAATGATGCCCTTCATTCACCCATACCCACTTTCCCATTTGGGAAACAGATAACCAGGGTTTCAAGAGTTCTTAGAGAGTCCAACTTCCAGATAGGGAAACTGAGACCACATATGTGTCTTCCTATATAGCATGTAGAGACGTGTGCCACATAACATTTCTGCAACGATGAACAATGCACATGATGACCCCGTAAGATTCTACCCGTAACCTAGTGACCTCATGGCTGTCTTAGTTTGTCTAAGTAGACTCTATGATGTCACAAACACATTGAAATCACCTAGTGACTCATTTCTCGGATTGTTTCCCTATCATTAAGCAATGCATGGCTGTCATTAGTTAGATCAGCACCAGAACTGAGCACAAGGCTTAGGACCCCAAGACCTGTCCTCCCTCAAAGCTCTGACAGCTTCTTTGTTTTTGTTTTAATAAACTGATTTGTATTTTAACCAGGTCAAGTGAAAGTGAAAATCCTGAAGTGCTCTGTTCCCACCAAGACCAAGGCTACAGGAGCAGTTAGTGTTAAGCCGACGCGGTCCACTTGCGCACAAGACTAGCCTGTGGGGGTCTTTTGAGAAGGGGAAAGGGTGCCGCTTTTAGGGAGGGACTTGGAGGAAGGGGGGTCTTTCTCTGGGCTCTGATGCAGCCCCCAGTCAGGGTATCTGGCTGCAGAGGTACACAGGCTGGTTCTGCACCACGAGCCACCAGGTGTCCTGGTTTGCCTGGAACTGGGAGTCTCCAGGATTCGAGACTTTGCAGGTAACCAGGAAAGCTCCATGCCATCAGGATGGTTCGTCCCTCTACCCACCCAGGGAGGCCTCCCTCTCACGTTCCTTCAGGGCACAGCCTACATGGGCAGACAGAATGCCACCAGGAATTTACACCAGATGCCAACCACAGCTTCCTCTGCCAGGTCAACCTCATGGAAGGCTGCTCGCAGTCTTCCAGGTGACGTGCATGCAGTCTCAAAGCTCTGAGCGCTTTACCTTCCCCCTTGCCGTAGGACGAGCTGGCAGTCCAGGACTTGGCCTCCACATATCCCAGCTCCCGGCAGACGACGTGGGCGGCGTGGATGGAGAAGTCGTCGTCGCACACCGTGCCCCACTGGCCGTTATAGTAGACCTCCACGCGGCCCTCGTTGTGCTTCCTCTTCTGGCCCGCCAGGCGCAGCTGGATCTTGACCACGTCTGAGGGCACCTGAGGCCGGTGGTACTCGGGTGCCGGCTGCTGGAAGTACTCGGGGTACTGGAGCTGGTAAGGCCAGCTGTCATACTGTGCCAGGCTCAGGGATGGCAGCAGGATGAGCACAGCCAAACAGCCGCAGAGGCCAGAGCCGAGCGGCCTCTCCATCCCTGTCCTGTGGCAGGAGTATCCCCCGGCCAGGGTCCTGGGGCTGTCAGGCGGGGCCGCTGGGCTGGAAGCAGCAGGAGCCTCTGGAAGGGAGGAGAGACGCATCAGGATGCGACGTGGGGTGACAGCCACCTGCATAACACTCAGTGATCGTACGCTGCTCCTCCCATCTCGATGCCAGCCCATCCCGGTCACACCTGACCTTTCAGGCCATGAGTCTCCACCTCGTCTGCCCACCAGCCTTCCCATGTCGCTAAAATGCTTTCGTTAGCAGGGTTCCTGCAGGGCACTCAGCACAGACTCAGTTTGAGGAGAGTTGTCTTTTTCTTTGAAGACTGTCTGGAGATGTGAGCAGTGTTTTGTGGGACTAACAAAGAATGGCTTCACTCGGCTCCTGCTGTCTTCTCATCTCTTTCTGGCACCTTTTAGGGGCAAACCCAACCCAGCTCAAAGAGGAGGCCAGGGAGCCTGGTGGGGGCCCATAAGGACTGGCATCTTGGCTGGGGCTGGGGACTGGGAGGGCAGTGGGTCTGAAGGGGGAGCGCGGGCTACTGGGTGCCCCTCTCCTGGATGCACCTGACCACCTCTCCCAGCCTCTCCTCTCCAAGGACCTGCTCAAGCCCCATGCACTCCAGCTCCAGTGTCCATACTGAACCAGCCTCCAGGGCCAGCTCCTGCCAAGCAAGGCAGGGTTAGGATCTGGACATTCTTCTGAAACTTTCCCTGTACTGTCACATGCCCAATTTGGTTACCAACCCAGGGCAGCTTCTGCCTCGCTCTTCTCTGGTCACTCGGTGGGAAACATACAGGCTCCGAGGTCACATTTACTGAACATGGAAGTAATCAGACTCCAGGGACTGAGCTGCTAGTGGGTAGTGGGGTGGGAGTGCTGCCCTGAGGCCGCCCTACATGGACAACTGGAGGACAGGGTCCTCCAAGAACTGCCCACTTCTCTAGCGCAAAAGGTCCTTCCTTCCACTGGACATGAGCGACCAGAAGGACACGGCCTCTTCAGGGTGCTGAGGGGAATGCATGGCGTCACTCCCTGACTCTCTCTTTCTGATCCTCTTACGATTCAAATAAAAACTGTCCCCAGAATCTTGTTTTCAGAGCAGAGGCCTGTTTAGAGGGGTGAATGCCACTGGGGCTGTGATTTGGAGGGGTGTATTCTTGTCCCTAGCTCTTCCCTCTCTCTCTGCTTCCTGGCTGCCAAGGGTCGAGCAGCTTTCCTCCACCACACCCTTCCATCATGATGTTTCTGCCTTGGAGCCAGCTGACCATGGACTGAATCCTCTGAAAACCATTAGCCAAAATAAGCCTCTACTCCTTTAAGTCACAGGTGTCAGGGGTTTTGCCCCAGAGGTGGAAAAATGAGGAATACAGCTCGCCACACATTTAACCCTTCCTGTGCTCTGCTTTTAGGCACCAGGCCTTCTGCTGCCCTAGCAGGCTGCCTTAGCATGCTCCTGAGCCTGTCATATCTACGGCTTATAGTCCTCACCACAAGATGGGTGAGGCCACCAAGACAGGAGGCGTCCAAGCCCCTCCTAAAGAGACAAGGGTCCTCTTTAGCCAATCTGAAAGCTACAGAGAACATCTGAGGCTTGTGTCTTACTCCTAGAGACAAGCCACAGATGCCCTATGACAGTTTCCTCCCTTTTCACAGTGTCCACCCCTGAGGGACTCAGAGGACTGAGCTCAGGCTGCTCCTGGAGTAGGGGAGGTGTTAAGCTCTATGTAGCAAACGGGAGAGCGGCCGATGGGAGTCTGAGAGTCAGCAGAATGGGAAGAGCACACTCTGGAGCCAGATGGTCTGAGCTTGAATCCTCACTCTGACACTTATGAGCTGTACAACCTTGGAAAAAATGCTTAACTTCTTTGCACTTCAATTCCCTCACCTACTGGATGGGGATAATCATCATATCTAACCACAGAATTACTCTGAAGAGTAAATGAATGGTGCCTCCTGAGCACCACAGAAGCATTTGCTAAATGAAATTTTTAAATCTTCAGAGTCGTGGTCACTGTACCCAGTGGAGTTGACCTCTGTGAATTCCAGAGTGAGGTCATTTAGCAAGAAACTTTGTCCACTTGGTCCTTACATTATTCCGAGATCAGGGAGACCACCCTAGATTGGAGGTGTGTCTCAAGGAGGAGGAAACAGATTCGGATATGGGCTCCTAAACAAGTGTTCCTCAAAGACTCATGTATTGAGGGCTGGATCCTCAACGCAGCAATGTGCAGAGGTGTGGTCCAGAGAGGGAACTGGATCACAAGGATCACTGGATCAATCCATTGTTGAGTTCTTAGCCGAATGGGCTATTAAAAGGGAAGGCCTAGCTGGAGGAAGGAGGTTACAGGTGCATGACATAGAAGGGTGCATCTCCTCTCCGTCCCTTCCTTTCTGGCTCTCTTGCTCTCTTTCCTTCCTAGCTGCCATGAGGTGAGCAGCTGTGCTCTACACAGCCTTTCTCCCATGATGGTTCTGTCTCACCACAGGCCCAGAAACAATGGAGCCAGGTTACTTACCATGGACTAAAACCTCTGAAATCATAAGCCAAAATAAATCTTTCCTTCTTAAAGTTGATATCCTCAGGTATTTTGTTACAGCAACACAAAGTTAACTAACACATATCCCAAAGGGCAAAGCCAGGAGAAGCAGGTGAAAGGTAGAGGAGGCATAATAACCTCATTTTAATCACATGAGAAGCAGAGGGATCATATTGCTCAGTCCACAGCACATTACCACTGAGAAAGAACTAAATGATTTTCCCAGCATCAGAGTCACAGCTACCCACAATCTACTGTGAAAGAGGAGGTTCTCTGTGGGTTAGGATGGTCTCCAGTGCCCAGTGCCCCATGGTGGGTGCCAGGGCAGAGAAAGCCCTCTGGTATCACTGGAGACCCAGAAATTCTCACTCTGTGCCTTATAAACGAGGCCAGAGAGTGGTGAGATTCTTACAACAGCCCCGTTCAAACCATACTTTGACATACAATGGTTTGGCCACATTTCATTCCCATCAAAGCACATTTACATCCACAAATGCCACTCGGTCTCTAGGGACCTTGGTGGGTAGAGGAGGCAGCTATTAGATCTCTTGTAGGAGAAAAGAAAGAGCCACAGAGTATGAGGAACTTGACCAGAGTAGGATGGTTAGCACAGGTGGAGCAAGCACTGGTCACCCCCAGTCTACAAAAATGTCAGGGATCCATCATCACATATGAAAGAGTCTGAGTTCAGCCTGGGATCCAATCAGGTACAAAGGTATATTCCTGGCCTCACTTCCAACTACCTCTCTGCCTTCGCTTACCCCAGCCCTTTCCGTGCCACACATCCAATCCGCAGGCCCTATACTGGTGTGTTTTTTGCTACCCAGAGCACTGTGCCTCTGGCTCCTGCTGTCCGGAGTGCACAAGCCACAGCCCTTCACAGGCCCTCCTGGGCACAGTGAATGTCTTCTCTGTTTCCTCTAACATCTCATGTTGCTTGTGTAACACTCGTGTCGTGTCTGGCTTGACCACCAGAGTCTCGGTCCTGAAGGATGGAAACCACCACTTTCTCATTTTCCCGAAGTAGCATATCTATTTCCATGGCAGACTAGTTTGGTTCAGATAAATCTTCTCGCCAAGAACAATTAGAAAAAATAGATAAAATACTAAAAACACATACTGCCATGCTCTTAATAATATTTCACTCAATAATGGGCCACGTATACAACAGTAGTTCCGTAAGATTTGAATGGAGCTAAAAAATTCCTATCTCCCAGTGACTTGGTAGCGACCCTCACATTACAGGAGGATGTATTACTGCCATGTTTGTGGTAACCCTGGTGGAAACAAACCTACTGCACTGGGAGTCATATGAAAGCAGAGCACATTCAGTTATGTACAGTACATAACACTTGGAATAAATGGCTATGGCACTGGTTATGTACAAGGTGTGACTGAAATACACAGTGTATGTTTAAATTTTTTTAAATGCATTAAAGTAAAAGACACATTGTTATAACCTCCCCTCAAAAGACTTCCCTTTGATTTGAACACACTTATCCCATTGTTTTTGCAGCTTTCTGAAGCACTTCTGGGAGTCCTCTTTCATGAGCTTCTTTAAAAGTTGTGATAAAAAATATGGGGAATGCAGCTGCCAAGTGCCATCCAAATGAAATAAGCATGTAAAAAATATTAGAGTGTTTCCTCATCTGCCTTATTCACCAGATCTGGCACTGTGTGACTTCTGGTTCTTCCTCAAAGCCAAAATGACCATGAAAGGTAAATGTTTTGAATTGATTCAAGACATTGAGACAACCCTAAGAGTACAAGTAAAGATAGTCAGGAAAGAGGACTTGCAGAGCTGCTTCAGATAGCGCCGAGAACAATGGGTAAGTGTGTTCAAAGTGAGAGAGACGACTTTGAGGGGGATTAATGTCAATGTGCCTTTTACTGTAACACATTTTTAAAAAATGTAAATATTCCCTGATTTTTGATCACATGTGTACGAACTACACTATACTTTTTATTATTATTTAACAGTGTACTCCTCCTACTTGTTAAAAAGTTTACTGTAAAGCAGGGTGCATGTCACAGCTGCACAGCCCACTCCTCAGGAGATGGGTTTCGTGCTTCTGAGTGTCATAACTGCACCGAGAGGTCACACTGCAGGACTGACCTGCATCGTGCAAGTTCGCGTCCGTGTAGTCTGTGAGGTTCGCACAGTGGCGAGTCAGCTGATCTCGCACTCATCAGGACATGTCCCCATGTCGAGCAGAACATGACTGTGTTCAAAGACACTGGAAAGCTACCAAGCAGCAAGATAGGCTCCAAGACTCCAGAGAGATGGGGACTGCAGGGAGCTGAGGCTCCAATCTGCCTCTGTTTCCCCTCCACCCACAGGGGACTTGCTGACTCCAAGGTCACTGAGCTGAAAAGCTAAGCAAAGCTCTCGCAGCCTCCAAGGATAGACAGACAAGAAAAGAACTGGAGTTCAGAGCCTGCAAAAGAGGAAAGGACCCATTAGATGGCCCTGGGCTTCCAGTGGAGTCTCCAAAGAGCTGAACTCTACACATTAGGGCACAGAGTTGTTCGA